TGCCACCCAGGTATGGCCCTCCGAAAATTGTTCTAATCACGCCAACAGATTCTAGTGGATTGTCATGTATTTGATCGTCCATACGATCATTGTTTCGCTAGTTATTATTGTTGTTGCCCCGACGGTGGGCTCTGTACTCATTGAGCCTTCTTTCTCGGATTAATCTTTCGATTTCATCCTTTAAATCGAAGCACTCGATAGTTGTGTGCCCACTCTCACCGTGAAATTTGCAGTACTTGTTTTGATTTCTTTTTGCAGGATCAGACTTGAGCGGCGGTGGTCGACACAAGACCTAGAGGTGGCTAATCTCGTGGTAGACTTCCTCAATTCCCATGGACAAGGGAGTGTATGAGTCATACATCTGCAGCTTGAATCGCTTCGCGTTTCCTTGATTCGCGGGAGCATTTCCACTCTGATTGTTTATAGTGGGGGCAGGGTTATACTTATGTTCAGCCTGCACCTGAAGATTTCCTCCGCGCTTTTTACCGTTATTTTTGATTGCTCGGCTACCCTGTTTCTTCTTTCGTTGGGGCCACCACTTTGCTTTTCAAGACCTTTTTTACCGTTATTTTTTATTGCTCGGCTGCCCTGTTTCCGATTGAGGTCTGTACTGTATGGGATATCATTCCTCATACTTGCTAAAGCCCCTTGCTAAGGCCCTCATTAGTGCTACATCGTCGGTAATTCCCTCTGTGGTTGTCACTTGCTCTTCGAACCTCGCTATCTAGTCCTTTAGGGACTCGTTTGGTCCTTGCTAGACCCTCGAAAGGTTATGCTTCGGTGGGATGTATTTCTTGACTCTTATGAACTGAATCAAGAAAGCGTTCTTCAAATCATCCTAACTTGTTATAGAGTTGGGCTTCAAGGATTTGAACCATTTCTTGGCAAAATTGGAGAGGTAGTTCCTGAATGCTCGGCACATGACCTCCACAGAATATCCGTGAAGGATCATGTGTCCGGTGTAGACCTCCAAATGATCATTTGCGTCACTCCTTCCGTCATAGAGCAGAATTAGAGGTGGCTTGTACTTGTCTAGCAGGGGGACTTAAATGATATTCTCAGTAAAGGGATGGTCATGAGACGTATACATCTTAGCGTCGACATTTACTGCCTTAGCCACTTTCCTCACAACTTGCTTGAAGTTGTTTAAGCGACTACCAATATGCTTCTCTAACTTGGCCATCTTCTCGGCCAAAGCCTTATTCTTCGCCACATGTTCCTCTTCTCTGGTCTTTTGCGACTCTTGCTCACGTCGAGCGTTCAGTTGTTCTCTTAAGTCTCCACCGTGTATAGATGAAGACTCGATCGGAACAACATTTCTCCGATTCCCATTCTCTTGCGGTCGAGGGGGTATCTCCCTGTTATTCATTGTTGGGGCCGCAACCCTCTCCTGAGCTCTTTCCTTGATGTCCGTTGTCTGCTTCACACAGACTTATTTGATTTGGCCGGACGGGGATTGAGGTTGGCCCTGATATCACCAACTCCCTCAGCATCACCGCGATGGTCACCATTAATCTGATTCCCAGCGGTGGCGTTTACTGGGATCATCGACGCGTCTTCCAGTGACGACGTTGAATTGGGCCTCTGATCGCACCCAGTTATGGCTGTGGCCATTCTCTCTACCACTACGGTAAGAGTCTCAACCTGCTTTTGAAGCTGATCAATACGATCCTGAGAGTCCCCGTTTGCTGCAATTGCCTTTTAACTGGGCTGGTTCTCTGGCCGTACCTGGTTACCATTTGGAGGATTTGGTTGAGTCCCCCCAACAGCAGGATTCTGGCCTTCTTGGCTCCTTTGGTTAGCCCTCATACTGCGAGTTCTTCTCGGAGGAATGTTCTTGTTGTTGCTGGATTTGTGAAAATTTGGGTTTCGGCCCTCCTTCTAGCGCCAATTGTTGACGGTGAAAGTTCTTTAAGTTGGGATTTGACCTTTCCGGAAACACTCACGTAGTAACACTCACGAATTGATGGTTCGGCAGAAACTCTTTGCCTACGTCCACTTGTGGATGCACTAATTCTCAAAATTACAATTTCTCTCTCAGTAGGGAAAATAATTCGTAAAAAGATGAGGAGTTCAGCCCTTTTTATAGGCTCTCCTAAACATAGAAATTCTTATCCCTAATTTTTTATGATGACCCCTTTATCTCCTTTAATTAAGGGATTTTTCATATATACTTTTATTTGAATATCCGAATCTGGGGAATTATTTTCGTTGATTGTTATTTGATCTTCCAGTTTGAACTCGGATATTTGATGAGGTTTATCTTTTCCTGATTTGGCGGGATTGGATTTGAATCTAATCCTCTTGTCGTTTCTTTGATTTTTTTGACTTCTCGACACCAAGACCTTTAAAGGCTTTTAAGAACTTCTCGACTTGAAGGTCTTATCTTAAGAGCTCTCTTTAATCTAAGGACATCTCCTTAGCTGTCAGCTCTCGATATTAGAGATCAGTCCCTGACTTCTGAAGGTCTCGACATTAGGGATCAGTCCCTAACTTTTGAAGCTCTCGACATTAGGAATCAGTCCCTAACTTTTGAAGCTCTTGACACATGCGACCCAAAGGAATGGTTTGACTGCTCGACCATGATGCAACAGTCTTTCTTATTTTTCATTAAATATTTCCTATGAATGCCACGTTTAAGAGACTTTGGTTCCGAAAATTCAAAGGTGGTAAAATCAAAATTGAATTTGACTTCTGTCTAAAATATCAGGGTGGTGAAGAAACTTATTGCATTGTACAGTTTTCTTTTATGAACGCTGATGATGAAACGTGTTTTCCATCTTCCATTTGACAGAAACAATGTTTTCTCCATTGGCCAAATGCGAGACAGAAAGTCCGAAAGGATCTGTACGGGTTTCTACTCCTAAAGCCAACACCAAAACAGCGTGTCAAAATAAAGGTTCTGGCAATGGTATTGTAAAATCATCTCCTGTTTCCGCAACTGCTCAAAAGTTTCAGTCAGTTCCGACGGTTTCTCTTAGCAATGGCGATCTATCTTTAAAGGTTGGACTTCCCAGTGAAAATGGGATACCGAGTGACAAGACCAAACGCTGAGACCTGTAACTTCATAGGAAAGTATGCAAAATTGTCCTCACCTAGCGGTGACTTTCCTCTATTTATTTCATGCTATTGCTGATGCAGTTCGATGTGACTAGGTCTTAGAAACAGAAATTTTTATTAGTTGAAAACTAAAATTAACTGAATCCTTTTTTTTTTTTTATCTGAAGGGAAATCCATTTTCTTGTTTAGCATGTATCATGCTATTTATGAAAAGTTTTTGTAAACGACTTCTGATGTAGAATTGAAACCTATCTAATGTATAATTAATTGTATTTACCCTCATATTGAGGAGGCTTCAAATTAAAAACTTTTCTTCTTAGCATGCATCATACAATTTCCTAATTTAGTCTTCTTGCTGAAGTAGAGGCCTTGAACAGAGCGAAGCTGGTGATATGTGAAGTAAATGGGAAATAAATAGCCTCCTTGAATATGTGTTTCCTACTGCTAATAAATCAACACACCTTTAATGCATTAAAAAAAACACTTACCTTTAATGCTTTATTAATCTTTTTTTTATTTTTAGAAGCAAAAGTTTAGTATATGGACGTAGTTCAAAAGTACGGGCTGTGTTTGGTGCAACAAACTTAGAATTGGAATGGATATGATATTATAATGTGTTTGGTCTTGTATTACGTTAGGTTGTAATTATTTTTTATTTTTATATAAATCTAAAAACAAACGATAAACTAAATTTAAAATATTAAAGTTTTAAAATTAAATAGTTTTCATTTCATATCAATGCTAAACTAAATAAGAAAAAATTTACAAGTGGATCCCACCATCATTTAAGCTTACGATTACTCATCCCATGCTTCCCAATGGGATAACCTACCCCATGCATTCGGAATAATTACGTTGGCTTGGACTCTTAATCCAGTCCCAAGTAAAAACCAAATATAAGATTAGGACTATTTAGTCCGATCCTACTCTTAATCCCGCACCACAAACATGTCTCTGGTGGTAATTAGCAATTTGAATTTAAAAAAGAAAAAATAACTTGTAAAGTTAATGCATTAATTGGGGGGAAAAAAAAGACGCTCCAAATAAAATAGAATAATTTTGCACCATTACTTATAGGCATTGAGAAGCAACTTGATAAAATTCAATGGAGATTTCACTATTCAGAACTTTTTATATCATGTAATGAAATTCTCTAATAAAATTTACCATTTAAGGCTATAGAAAATCATGCATGTTTTTTTTTTTTTTTTTTTTTTTTTTTTTTTTTTTCAAAAGAACAGGAATGACACTTCAAAATGGCACAATCCGATATTTCCTCCACTGCCGCAAGATATTGAAACAGGGTACCACTTTTATGAAGAGGAGTTTCCTTGCGCTTTCCTAATTCCTAACCTTATTTCTAAGGTTGTCCTGAAATTTCTAAACGGCTGTTTCTTTATGGTTTCACATTTCTTGTCTCTTTTAACTCCGACAAAACTCAACTTCCATTCCATTCTCACAAGTACTAACACACAAACTCCTTGAACCTCCTCACAAAAATGTCCAAAACACAACTTCTATTATCCTCTGATTTTTTTTGTCTTGAAATTTTGAGCCTTAAGAGAAATAAAAATCTTGTTTTTATAATTAAGTCTGAAAATTTTTTTTTTTTTCAGAATTATGACGTATTAACTTGGAGATACAAGTTCTGAATAAAATTCTTTAATTAAAAACCAAATATACAGCTCAATTTTGCCTGAAATGGAAAAATTCACAAAATGTCAAATTTATACAATAACCGCAAGTTCAATTCACCAACCACAACCAAATCTCACTTCCATTGGCTCAAGAAAAATAAAATAAAATAACTGAGGGATATAAAATCCTTGTTAGCAGCTTTTTCTCAGGAGACAAACACAAGAAAACGAATACTGACGTCATCCAAATTATGATAATAAAATAGAATGAAAAAAAATATAAAAAACTCTTGCAGAAAATTGACTAATAGAGAAAGAATATGTTCTCTCTCTCTCTTCTCTGTCCATCGCTCAAAACCACTTCCCTACCACTAATCATTCTCACCAAACACGACACTACTGCTATCTCTGTTCTCGCATATGCGACCACGTGTTCCCCGCACGTGCGCCATTGCTTTATTTCTTACCCGCCAAAAGCGGTTGCTTATAAATGCCGGTCCAAATCATCCACGAGGATCACCGCAACCTCCACAACCGAATCGACAGAAATGGCGGAATCCGTTGACGCCAGGAAGCTTCGCGCCGAGTTCCTCAAAGTTCTGCGCAGTAGACGATCCGGCGAAGGTAATTCCTCTGGTTTCTGGCTTAGTTTACTGTTTGCTTACTGAAAAAATGCAGGAAAGTAGGATTGAGTAGCTGTTGATCTAGCCGAGCTCGAAGCCTCGAATACAGGGATGTGAATTTCGAGAGTTTCGATTGGATTAGTTTTTTAGTTCGAATTTTGAGCAACTGAATTGAGTAGAGTGTTTGGTTGATGAGCCTCATGAGAAAGTTTGGGGAAATTGAGGAGATTTGGGAGGGCCCGTTTGATGATGTAATCAAAATGATTTTATTTTTAATATAAAATAAAAATAAAAATGAGACTATTTTAAAAATTATTCTGAAACTAAATTTAAATTTGTATTTAGTTAATTTTTAAAAAAATTATTTTTTTTTTTGAACACTTAAAAAAATTATTTTGCGTATAATAAAAAAATAAAATTATGTTTATTTATAATTATTAATTAATATATTATAACATTTTTTATAAGTACTATAAAATGAAAACTGAAAAGGAAAAATAATTTTTAACCGTTTTTTAATTCTTTTAAAATAAAATGAAAATAGAAAAGAAAAAACAACTTTTAAATATTTTTTAATTACTTCAAAAAATTATTTTCACTTTTTTTTATTTTTGTTTTCCTTTTTAAAACATTTCCTAAATAAATATAATTTAAAAGATCATTTTTATTTTCATGCCTCATAAGATGTATAAAAACATTTTAAAAAATAAACAAAAATCAATTCTAAACACACCTAAGAGTTTTTAAGTATTATTCTTGAGCGGCTGAATTGAGCAGTGTTTGGTGTGTTTGATTGATCAGAAAGTTTGGGAGAATTGAAGAGATTTGAGATTCTTAAGACGGCAAATGGTGTGTATTTATGAGCGGAGATTAATTCAACGAAGTGCTTTTTTCAACAAAAAAAACAAAGTTCTCTTGGAATATCTTTCTTTCTTAGTTGAATAGTATGAAATGAAGCTTTGATATATTCGGTTTGTTTGTTTATTGTCTTTTTCAGTTCCGTTATCTGTGGAGCCTGCAAAGCCTGTAGCGAACCCTTTGTATCTGGAGGCTTCAACACCTCGCTTCAGTGAGGTTCATATTTATTTTGAATAATGTTTTGCATATCGTCTTTGTTCGAAGTTCCCTTTCGTTGCGTTTCATTTTCAGAAATAACTTTTATTTCCGAAAATAAACGATTCATGTCCTGTTTTGATACAATTTGCTTTCATTCGTGTAATTCTTGGGTCTTCAACTAGGCAATGGCATCCTGTCCAAAAGCAGACAATGAGAAATTGGAGGACTTACTGCAAGAGGAAAATTTATACTTGATTACCGAGGTAATAATATAGACCCTTTTGCTGGTTGAAAGGATAATATATTTCTAGCTCCTACTTATAAGTCATAAATAGAAATTAACAAATTTATTGAAGTTTCTGCAATTATTTCTTGCTTATTAAGCAAGGGAAAAGAAAAAAACTTATTCTCCAATGGTCAATGATAGGCAGGAGAGCAAGGAAGGTTACCAGTATTGATTATAAGCATGAAGGAAGAGAGTGACCAAAAAAGGCCTGCCGTTGTATTTCTGCATAGTACACACAAGTGCAAAGAATGGTTAAGACCCTTGCTTGAGGTCGGTAGTGGGTACCTTTTCAAACTTACAACCTTTTTTTTAAGGTAAAATCAATCCAGCTTTAGTTTGAGCAAATGAGTTTTATGGTGTTCTTTTTGCTTGTTTTAGGCGTATGCTTCAAGGGGCTACATAGCCATTGCCATTGATTCCCGCCACCATGGTGAACGTGCCAGCAATATTACCACCTACCGAGATGTACTTTTCATTGAGCACTGAAACACTATTCTATTTTCATTATAGTAACATCATTACTAATCTTCAGATTATATTTACTTTTAGGCTCTTGTATCATCATGGAAGAAAGGTGATACCATGCCATTCATATTCGACACGGTAACTCCATTACTTTGTTGTGAATCGTATAGTGTTTCTACCAAAAATTAACCTTTGAATGGAATTTTCGAAGAGTTGTTCTGTAGCTAAAGAAGTCAATTATTACAGGTCTGGGACTTGATAAAACTAGCAGATTATTTGACAGGAAGGAAGGATATAGACCCTACTAGAATAGGAATCACTGGTGAATCGCTTGGAGGTTTGTTACTTGAGAGTTCAATGTTTTACAGATTATCCAACACTCTCTCTGTTATATGTGGAAGTCATCTGGGCTTTTCTTTTCTTTATATAAAAAAATATATTTCAATGCAGGTATGCATGCGTGGTTTGCTGCCTTTTCTGATACCCGCTATTCTGTGGTTGCCCCCATAATTGGCGTTCAGGTAGTGTGTCTAGTTAATTCATTACAACTTTATCTAGGTTATATAGATAACTGAACTTTTACTGATATGATTATAGGGTTTTGGATGGGCTGTAGAGAATGACAAGTGGCAGGCTCGAGTTGACAGCATAAAGCCTGTTTTTGAGGGTAAGGTACATCTAGAAGTAAATGCACGTTAGAACTTCCATCACAATAATGAACATTAATACAATGACTTAATTTTGGTTGGGAAGGATTTATTCCAATCACAGCTCTTTGCTCGTTTTCCTACTAGCTAGTGTTAATTTTATATTTGATTGTGGAGCCAGATTCGTTATATATATATATATATATACATATATACATATATACATATATATATATATTCAACTGTGAAGTGAGGTAATGCTTGAAATGGAATATATTGTATCATTACAACAAGTTCATTTACGCAAAATTGTGTTGCACTTTTTGTTGCTAGAGTTGGAACAATGAGCGTTATATACTAGTTCATTTTGTTGGAGATTGCAGATTTATGCTTTTTCATTCCTTGATGCTCTTATTATTTGTTTGCAGAAGCACGAAATGATTTAGGCAAGAGCGTAATTGATAAAGAAGTGGTGAAGAAGGTAAGTAACGTATCCCACTCTGTAAATATGACTCTAGTTGGAGTGTTCTGTACTTCTAGATAAGATTTTATTCTTGCACACACTTTACAACGTGTTCTGGCTCTTTAAGTTCAGCATTCTGATTCAACTTAACATCTTCTATGATATCTAGATTATCTTCTTTAAATGCACTTCATAATATACTACAGGTTTAACACATCTGACTATTTGAGCAGGTTTGGGATAGGATTGCTCCTGGTCTAGCCTCTGAGTTTGATTCTTCTTGCACAATTCCAGTTATTGCACCGCGTCCTTTGCTGATATTGAATGGTAAAAGTCTTTTCTTACGCTTTAACCAACGATAGTAGAAACTCTTATATTCCTTGGCAGTTAATCTGTCGATACACTAGTACTGGACTACCAAGGTTTGCAGGGTTCGAAGTTAAACTGATGACAGTTAAACCTGGTTTTTTATTTTATTTTTTTATTTTTATTTTTTATTTTTTATTTCTTTTTTTCTTACACATTGTCGTGTGTGTTGGCCATTTGTTCCTTTTTAATCTTCATGCTATGTCAAAGCATAAATTGGAGTTCAAATGTTACAGGTGCGGAAGATCCACGATGCCCGGTACCTGGTCTAGAGGTTCCTATTTCAAGAGCGCGCAAGACTTGGGAAGATGCGCAATGTCTTGATCACTTTAAGGTACGGCAATTGAAACTGTCTGCCTGAGATCAGAACACTGCAAACATCTTCGAATTGCAGTGATGCCCTTGCTTTCCATGGGGCTGAATTACTCTTACTGAAGTAATTTACCAGCTTTAGGATGCCCGTCAATTTGGGAAATTAGACGAATGAAAGTGTGAGAAGCTAATTTTAGTATTACCCCAAACTTGGGAAATCTGTTGAATGTTCTTCATTTTCTTGTTACATCCAGGTTATTGCGCAACCTGGAATCGGTCACCAAATGACCCCGGAGATGGTGAAAGAAGCTAGCGACTGGTTTGATAAGCATCTCATGCAATGATGCTATTTAGTTTGAGTTCTCCAGTTGTGTGATTGTTCCTCAACCTTTTTCCCATTTTGTTTATTCGTGTCCTTGAATGCAATAATAATCTCTGGTTTTGGCAGTTCATGTAGTCTAAGTCTAAACGTCTAATAAAGCATATTGTCGTTTTCATGCTCGCTGAGACAAGACCTTTTACTCCGTGTAAGCTTGTATAAAATTTTGCTGACCATTTCAATCGATCTGCAAAAATAATTTGGAACATGGACATTTTTTTTATTTTTTTTTATTTTTAAAAGATTGATATGCAATACTGATTTCCAGTATAAATTAGTTGCATAACACCAAGAGTTTTCTATAATTCCGTTAATTAAGTAAACAGTAAGAGTTGCACCTTTTATACTAATTGTTTGGAATGGTTCTTTGTCCTCGTTATTACAACAAACAAGATCAATGCTAAGTATCAAGATTTTGACACAAGAGACCCATAAATAATTTTCAATATTTGTTTTTAGTACCACAAGCAAGAGACCGCACACATGGCGATCCAAAAGGATGAAAAAGCAAATGCAAAATCCAGACCATATACTTCAGCCTTTTTTAGGCATAGCAGCAAGCCTAGTGTACATCCTTGCCATTGATTGGTATCCTCTGATATCACCAGATCGCAGAAGATTGCCTGTAGACGACAAAAGCGGCCTATCAGTAATGGAGACCGTGATTAACATTGATATTTTGTATAATATATGTATGAGTGTGTGTGTGTGTGTATATACATTGAAAATTTGATCAACAACAAATATCATCCTTTGTTGACTCTACCATTATGTTAAAGTCATTTTTCTTTAATGCAAGTGTTGAAGACAATTGAGAACAATGAGAAGTGACTTATAGGCTTTGAAATGGGTAGATTACAGAGCACAGAGTAAGGCCTTTGTAAAAGTAGCTTCGTTTTTTTTTTTAATTTATAAAAAAAAAATTTTAAAAAAGAACCATGAACAGAATTTTCTTTTCTTTGGAAGTGGGGAAAGAGAAGGTTCCAATTCCAAAAGCCCGAAACCACGCAATCAAATATATCAGAAGAATACCAGATACATCCTAGCTTCCAAGCCCGACCTAGAGTCAGTCAGTCATACATACATACGTACGTATACGTATAAAGCAGTTGTTATTCAACAGCTGGAAAGAGGGCTCCAAAAGCCACAAAAGTTGAGGGATTTAGAATGAGCTCTATGCTGCTTCAAGCAGGCTCTTTGGCAGAACAAAATAAAATAGGTGTACTTTTTATAGCCTTCAGCTTCCTTGTGATAAGCTAAAAGCCTTTCAGACATTATTATTTATCCCTTTTTAAAACTTTTATATTCGTCGATTTACTTGTTTGGTTTAAGGTGCATGTGTGTACAAACATACCAGAATCACAATTGAGGGGACTATCAGGTTCCGGATGCGCCATCAAAGCAATAATAGCCCTACAGACAGATTGGAGTGTCCAAGCTGGGCTCCATGCGTTCTTCAAGATATCGAGGCAAATCTCACCTGTCTATGGTCGGGAAAAAAAAAACAAGAAAAAGAAAAAGAATAACTCCCAATAAGCCATTTGAAGATGAATTAAGCATAAGCTCTAAAGATTAGATTTAGTTTCAATACATGAGTTCGAGTGGAACAGCCAATTCATCAAATGAAGTTTTCTATGGTCTTTAATTAACCATAATCCTTTTAGGCTTTCGCGAACTCTATGTTGTAGCAAGGGGCTTAACCCCTTCTCCTCACCTCCGAACTCAAACTCTCAATTTTTCTTCCTCCTTAAAAAGAAAAAAGTAGAAATCGGATTTTGACTAAGAACTACCAGTGATCAACAACTTAAATCAACCCATCAAATAATACACTCTATTCACAGACTCGAGTCCAAAATTCCAGACTTGCAGATATGGCTATTTCAAAATCAATTATTGGAAGTTGATTGAAAGTTTTGACACCGCAACAAATTTTGCAGGTATGGCTATTTTAAGCCCCATATGTCAATCTTAGTTTCCTTTCTAAAAAGTACTAATTCTGTTAAGGCGCAACATAACCAAAACAAAACACCTGAGTAAATCAATAAAAATCTCCATACCTTGAAGTGCACATTTGGATGGAAAATTTTCGTTAAGAACCTCACTTGCGGAGGTTGTAGAGGGTACTGCTCGGGGACTGCAAAAGCAAGCTGGAATACACCACCTTCATACGGAGTCTCTGATGGTCCCTAGATCAATAACAAAATTCAAAAAGAAGAACAACGATTACACCAAAAGACATGAAAAAACCAGAAGGATTCGGTTATGACTAAAGCTTACCTTGATAAGAGCAGTCCACTTAAATATGTTGTTGTCATCACAAGCAAGTTGAATATCTGGGTCAGCTACTTTCTCTCGCTGAACCTCTTTGTATTCCTTGAATAGCCTTGCCCTCGATGCCTGCAGAGAAGAGTGTTCATCTTATCATCAAAAACCTGCCAATACAACTATCAATAAATAAATAAATAAACAAATAAAAAAACCCAATACTCAAATCAAAAGAAAAAAAAAAGCAATTTCCTATGGATATTTAGAATTTAAATGAGAAAGTTGCTCAACAGTCATAGAATCAAAGCTTATAAGTCTTTAAATTCTTCTATGATGACTCGAATATGAATCGAAATATCGTATTTTCTCCATCATCCTTGCTTCATCAAACATGATACAAAGAAAATTAACCACACAAAAAAAAAAAAGAAAAAAAAAAAGCAAAGCAATTTGATCAATTGTAGCTAACCTGCATTCTAGCTGGTGCTTGGTAACTTCACGAAATTTCAAGCTCAAAAATTAAATGCAACCAAAAACCTGCAAAATGTACAAACACATTTGTCAAAGTTTACTAATTCTAGTCCCCAATTTCAGAGTCCAAAAAGCATATAAATTCTACTCCAAAAGATTCGATTCAATTGAGTATTCTCAACAAATTCTTTATTGCCTATTATAAGATTTCCCACAATTTCCCAGCTTCCAATGAAAAGGAAAGCTTCAACATCAAGAAATTATTGGAAATTTTCCCAAATTGAAGAGAAACATAAAATCCGAAATCTCCTCTTGGCAGTTTCGGAGATAAAAACACCCAATTTTCAGGCTAACTAAACAGAGGAAAAAAAAAAGCTGATAAAGATTTGTAAGTACAAATAGATCCAAATAAACAACGACAGAAGAAATATATTTAACGATAATTGTTATGACAAACTTACCTGGTATTACCGAAGATATGCGAGAGAGAGAGAGGGAGAGAGAGAGAAGAGAGAGTTTTTTTTTTCTTCTTTTTTTTTTTTTTGAGAGGTAGAGAGAGAGAGAGAAGAGAGAGTTTTTTTTTTTTTTTGAGAGGTAGAGAGAGAGAGATTTTGATGTGCTGAAACGAAAACGGGAGAAGAGAGGTCGATGGCGGGGGGTTCAATTGCCTGTATCGCAGCCTATGATATAGCTTGACAATTGACAACGATTATAATTTTTCGTCCGTATCGTGCCAGGTGGATAGCTTGATCAAGTTTCTTCTACTGAGAAAAAAGAAGAGAGAGAGAAGAAGACCGGATGGTCTCACTTAGAGGTGTAAGTTTGGGCCTCAAGGAATCTAGCTTGACTCAGTTTGAAATTTATAAAGTATTTTTTTTTTAACTTTTGAAAATATGATGTTTGGATTAGACCGGACTAGTTCTAAATGAGAGATAGTCAGTTCAGCTTAGCTCTAAGTCTAAAAAATTTAGGATTAGACCCGGCCCAACAGTAGGGCTTCAAGCCGGCCCGTTTAGCCTGACTCAATCTTGTAGCTCTAATCTCACTATTAAATTTTAATTTTGGATTTTTTATCTATTAAAATATTTTATTTTTAATATTTTTTTAAAAGAAAAATTGCATTTAAACAAAAAGGAGAGAAAATAATAATAGAAGGCTAATGACTCATCAAAGGGACAACCTGAAGCTCGAAAACAGAAGAAAACCTCAGCACACTTAGGGCTCGATTTGAAACCCCATTCCGAGTTCTGGCGGGAGTCGTGACAGATCACTAATCCCTACATAGAGGGGACATTAGCAACACATCATAGATAAAATTCTAACATGACTAAAAAACTCACACCGTCGGTAAATAACCTAACCAGGTAGGAAACATAACCAAAGCCAAAAAGTGAAAAAACCACCTCCGTTATTACAAAACAAAGTCGAACTCACGCCGGCGACCAACAACTAAGGAATGGAGACAACATCACCTTTATTACACACCAAACATAACCATAAATTAAAACAAAGAGATACTCAAAAGATATTGATCGAATTTCAGAGACAGCCGACCGCCACCAACAAAGAACAAGGAGCTGCAGCAAACCAAACAATTTAAGAAGATACCGAAAAGAGACCAAGACATCACTTCCATCCACTGCCTCTGCCAAAAGAAAGTCTCAGGCCTATGGAACTACCGCCCCAAGAGACCCAAAACCCCCCACCAAACAGAGGAGTACCGAAGCACCCACACAGCACCGAAGTTTCCATCCGCCTCCAAACCACGATGATTCAGTGAAACCTAAAATCTTACCATTCTGAGCACAAGTCCTTTTTCACTTTATTAGCGTTTACTAGTATTGTAACGAGGAGTTCATAATAAGGAAGCCTCAAACTTGAAGATCAAGGTGGCTACATTGAGATTAAAATATATAAACAAAAATAAAAAGCTATTGTCATATATATATATATATATATATATATTGAAGGCATTCTGTGCCTTTTGAAGCACGTGCTTCATCTCCTGATTTCAATTCTCCTGTGAAACAAGCAGATTACACCTGAAATTTGTATTGAAGGCATTCTGCCTTTTGAAGCACGTGCTTCATCTCCTGATTTCAATTCTCCTGTGAAACAAGCAGATTACACCTGAAATTTGTGGAGTGTTTTAAATACATAGGAAAGAAAAAGGAAAAGGTTGTTCAAATAATTGGAAAAAAAAAATTAATTAAAATCCAAATGGTTCAAATTCAATCTAATCCACAGGCCACCCTTTTTTTCCCATGTTTTCTCTACAAGGAATGTACAATGCAAGCAAACACAAAATATTGAGCCAAAAAGGAAACGAGCATGTGTATTAGAAGATAAACAAATAATCAAAAGTAGACAAAGAAAATTCAATAAATAGCAACCAAAAAAAAAAAGAAAAAAGTGCAGAACCAATCAAGATTTCACATGCTACCAGCTCTGCCAGGCGTGGGTTTAGCAGTAGGCTTCAACTTGGCCATGTCAACAAGGTCACCAAATAGTTTATCCTCTGGCTTGGAAGGCTTGCTTGGTGGAACATAAGATGAAGTGGAAAGCTGGTAGGAGTTTCTCATCGCATTATCATCTGGGACGGATAGACCATACATTCTCCGCTCAAGGTATTGAGCACCTTGTTGCTGACCATAACCATAACCGTAACTGGCCATCTGCTGACCGTACATTTGTTGAGGGTACATCGACGCCGTATAGCCCGCTTGCATTGGCTGTGGAAGCATGCCCATATACGGCCCACCATGCATTTGCTGAGGATGATACCCCAACTGATGGCTTGGACCAACCTGGCTATTAATTGCCGACATATGGCTGCCCGTAATAGGCTGGATATACATACCTACTACTTGGTCATTCCCCATGGGTTGAGGTCCCAAGGGAGGTGAACCAGCCTGCGCATGCGTTACAACCACCTGAGTTACTTGCAGCGGTTGAGGGTACTGAGCACTTGCAACTGGGCTGCTGTCGCCGGTAGACTGACCTTCCCAAGGGGGTGGCGGTAATGATCCGCCAGTTTGAGAACCTGCACAACCAAGCAAAATGTTAAAGACTTGAAAAAACAACAGAAGCATTCTTACTTGCAATAAAAAATATCACATGCATTGAAATTCTACACATTTTACAGTCACCATTACCAACAGTCTGGCAGTAAAACATGAAAAATAAAGATAAACAAAAAAGATGTGCTAAATGTTCATTTTCCAACTAGTTTATGAAAACTTAAAAAAGAACTAAAAACTTGTGGGGCATGCTGTAACTGCATTTGCCAATATAGTGACTGATCATTATGTTCTCCGTTAAAATGGTGATGAAATGAACAGGATCAATTGATGAATGCACCATAGAACAGTGAAGGCGGCTGTGGCTGTTGCGGCTGCTGCTGTGCAATCTGACCATTCCAGGCGGGCCCAGTGCCCTGTGTGTAGAGTGACTGCTCATACTGAGGAGTTGCCATGTTTGGGACGCTTCCATTGGGGTAAAACCCACCCTGCGGAGATTGAAAATTCTGCTGGTTTGGGGCTTGAGGAGGCAAAGGATTGGTTTGTCCAGGGAGATTAGCGGACTGGGCATCTACAGAGTTTGAGGTGTTATTACTGTCGGAGAACATGTCAAAAAGAACAAGAGCAGTCTGGTCAGATGCAGGAGTGCTTGTTTGTTGTCCCCCTACAGGAACAATGGCCAGAGAAGTATCTGCCTTCGGTGAGCTAAAATCATCTCCACTCAGCAGGTCCATTTTGGGATCAACCTTTGTTGCTGGAGCAGGACCATTAGTTGCAGGAGGAGCAGGAAGCAATAGCTGATTCAGTGGATTAGCCCCTGCACCAGCACTTGAGGTGGATCTGCAAAAGATTCCCAACACTCAACTCATTGGTCTCAATATCTCATATGAAATATATGATATCATGTACCTTCAAAAATTCGTGCATGTAATCCTAATTCAAGAATCTATACAGTGCTACAGAGATACTCATCTATTCTGCAGAAATAATATTTGTACTCTAATACTTAGGTGCATAAATGTCTCCAACCCAAATTATTGACATATACAGAACAAATTATTCATTTTGCAGCTTGGGGAAGCATTCCAATACAAACCATAATGATAGAAAAATGGAAGACGTGATTGGCATAGATCCTACCGGAAAGTCAAAACTAAAAATTTGACTGCAAGAACAAACCTAGACAACAAATGTGCACTAGATTCACTATTGCAGTTTAGTCAATTTCAATAATTATACATGCAAAATGTCAATGACTGTAAAGGTCCATATAGTTAAGAGGATTTTTTCATCAACCAGTTACCTCCCATCAGCCTGTTTACTACCTCCAGTGTCTACTAGAGGGGCATCAACATCTACAAGTGTTCTCGATGGTTCAGCCTTAGGTTTTGCTGTTTGAACTGATGTTCCTGAAGAAATGGCTTCATGCTTGGCTAGTACACGTTGCAAATCATCATTCAATGTGAGTCCTTGACATAAAAGTGATTCGTCGCTGACAGAAATGGACAAAATGTTAATAATAACAACTGAATGGAATATTAAAACCATTATGAGCAAATCTTCATTGCGCTTAATATAGGCATACAACTGGCTGAAAAGTTTTTTAAGACTTTCCTATTTAAGTTAGTTAACTGTTGCAGTGAGTCAAGAAACCTAGCCTACGCATTCCTACTAGTTTGCACTAGAAAAAACTGGTCACGTCACTTTGCTACGTTCACTTTATAAGAACTTTGAATACGTCTTTTTTTTTTTTTTGGTCTCTTTCATTAGCACGAATCAACAATATACATAAACAAGGTCATAATGATGGCAAACGCTATTGCAATGGAAATCCAATCAACTGCAATGCCAAAATAGTCATCTGCATGACTTGACGCCTCTTGGGGTTTTTCATAAAATAAAGAGCTCCTAAAAGAAAAAAATGAGTAACGGGGCAAAAAAGTTTGTGGCCTTACGCAGTCGAGTTAACAAGGTGTACCACTCTCTGCTTATATGTTCGGCATTGTTCCACCAAATCAACAATAACCTCCTGCCTAAGCCCCTGTAAATTAAAATAAAATAAAGATAGCTAAAAGTGTCAGAAATATTCATATAAAGATTTCCAATAGTTGATGCACAAAACAGTTGTTCCATGACTTGTAGATATCAAGCAATGTCACATAGTAAATCTCTTGATGACAATTCAATCAACCCATAAAGTTTTAATAAAAAGGCGTACCTCTTTGTTCTCTGGATCTAATGCATTAAGCATTTCTGCGAGAACATCCATTATTCCCCGTGCATTCTGAATTTCTGACAAACTAACAAAAGAACTTCTATTGAAACAATAAATTTGTGAATCACATAAATTTTAGATGCATGTAAGCATCTGCACTAACAAAAGAATTTCTATAAAAACAATAAATTTAAGATGCATGCAATCATCAGAACTAAAAAGAAACAATTAAGTAGTGCTTGCTAATTTCAATATTGATCACGTGTCATTGACAATACTTCTGACTCTCACTTTCTAGAATAAATACGTAAGACATAGCCAAGGAAGAATCTCACAGTAAAAGAACAACTCAATGATAGTACACTTTCCAACCAAAGATCCTAGTTAGCAGATAAGATATCAAATCTCGTTGTTCAAAAACTTTCACGCAGATTTGCAGTAGCCTTTAACAAAAGATAACACAGTTATACGTTTTACTTTTTCCGCTTCCAATTATTCTGAGTTCCGTGTAGGCATACAAATAAGGTCCACAGGTACTTAAGTATTCTTTATATTACTGTTGCGATGCCATGTCATGCAGTTAGATGAACGCATCCTGTCATAGCAACTACAATCCAAAGAATAGGAGAAGCTAATTGAATGGGAATAAACTATTCCATGAAAAACGTTTCAACCAGCATTCAGTTACAGCAACTATGAAAAGAGTGCTGTAAAGTGCTAGAATTGGTGATCCGTTATTATCTAGATAGTTTAACTTGGCCTCAAATCTCAATTCATTTAACAATACAAGGATCTATATATGCACCTCAAAGTAGGGAACTCGGACTCTGCAGATGGTTCAGCTGCATCTTGACGAGGATCAGAATTGCGCAGATTTGGGGGATATGATGACAATGGTTGTGTTTGTGGAGGTGTAAACACCGGTGCAGCTCTCTCAGATCTCTGAGGAAATACTGCCCCAGCACGCTGAAAACAAAAAACAAAAACACCATAAGGAAACGATGCAAAGAGAAGGAGACAAATTTCAGTAAATAATTACCAAATAATGCTCCTTTTTTATCAACTATTTTTGCTTCTTTGTTTTAGCACTGAACTTTGAGAAGAAATTATTGATAAACATACCAATAATTCCTGGTAAGCAGCATAGTACTGTGGATATCTTGCCCTCGCACCTCCAAAGACTTCTTGCCAGGTATCTATCAGGATCAATATCTTCTCTTTAACATGTACGTCGGGCTACAGAGATAATTTTGGCCAAAAAACAAAGGTTGAGAATAGGGGAGTGGCCAAATAATTAGATGACAAGCATAAACAACAAACATAGTACCTTTTTCTTAACTATTTTCACCATCTCATGAAGAACGTCTTTCTCTGCCACATGCATATGAACAATGTCCCCACAATTCTTTATAATTGTCTCCAACAGCTAGAATATAGCCAGCAGACAAAACAGAACCAATTAAGTCCTCTGTAAGATGAAAACATAAAAATGACAAGAGATGGAACTGGGCATCTACAAATGATGGGGAAAAATCACATCTTTAAGAGTACTTCCAGCAAAGCAATTAACCTATTACTACTCTGCCGTTAAATCATCCAACTTTCACATTCTATAATATCCAGGCTATTTTCTACCTCATGTTTTTTTACTTCCAAAGCCTGGTAAAAGTATATAAAAATGTCTCATTATGTAAGATTAAGCACCACGCCTCTTGTTAAAGTCAAGTTAGGAGTTCCTCATCATTTCAGATGATAAGTAGTGTAATTACTTGAAATATAATAAGGATTACAAAACTGAATCCATCCGCCTAGTCTTGAGAATGGAAAAGGGAAATATATAAAGCAAGATCCGAGATATTTCCTAAGGCTGGTAAAACAATATTGGAAGAAATTTACTGCAGGAAACCTGAGGAATAACGAAAGATCACAGACCCATTAGCAAGATATGACTATAGAGATTGTAAAAAAGAAAACAATTCTAACAAATATATAAATTGGGTGCCACAAAGCCATCAGCTTAATCAATTGCAAGTTAAAACGTTTAATCTTAGTCAAAATCTAATTAATAGCTAACAAGGGTAAGGTAAGAAACAAGCTGAAACGAACATTACAAGTTATTGACGACACATGAAGAAACAAAAAAACCAAAAACAAAATGCAAACAATTGTAAGAATTTTCCCGAACTTACTGTTAGAGCGAGAAGTTGAACTTTAGGATTCCTACTTCCAATGCGTTTCTTTATCCCCTTTACAACATCCTTTGCTTGCCTGATATATCGAAACAATTTACTTCTAAACTGAGGAAACTAGATAGAGATTGCCATAAAACTTAACAAAAACCGCACACGAATCCAGTTGAGTTGAAAACCGACAACCTAAATATTCACATTTCACGCAAAAAAGCATTCCATTTTTTGTCCTCTCTTTAGCTGGTTACACCGCCAACCATCCATCCCAGTTGCCCCTCACCCGCCACTCCTTTCCTAAATCCCAGCCTTACATATAAAGCGTCATTTTACTTCAATGTTCAATCCCAGGTAATGAAATCCAAAACCAAGATTTCCACCTGCAGCATCAAACCAATTTTCGAATTTTCGAATTCCCTTTTCCCTAGTTTATCTCATAACCGATCAAAACATCAATTAAATGTTCCCAAGTTTCGAAAAGCGAGCTTAAAGCATATATACCAATAACTTATCATGAGAAGCTCTAACAAGATGCCATAATCACACTCTGATCACAGAAACTCATTAGAACAACAATTTCGCGAAACTAAAACGAACTCACACAGAAGATTAACCACTGTTCGATCAAATTCACCCAACTCTCATCAACTTATCCTCAAATCACTCAATCCTAGGACTTTTATCAAAAGTATCTAAGCAAAATTTGCACTCTGAATTCTTCAATCAAATACGCGACAAGAAATTTACAACAGAATAAAACAACAACAAAAAAATCAACATTAGAGGATCGATTGCGAGGCGTACGCGGGATCATGGTTGAGCATGTCGCAGATTTCGATGTTCATGGCCCAATCGGGGCCGATGAGCATGTCGCTCGTCGCGCGTTCCACCATGGAATTCACCATCTCCGCTTCGCTTCTTCACCTTCGCGAAAAACGCGAATCGATCCAATTATCGGAGCCGATCACGAAGAACAGGCACAGTTCTAGGCAAGATCGGAGAAAATTCCGACGAGCTCGAGAAAATATTCCGGCCTCTCTAACCTCCCACAGAAGAAACTTTATCGCCTTTTCTCTCTCTTTCTCTCTCTCGGAGATCGGTGTTCCCACTTTGAGGAACGATTTCTTTTTTTCTCTTCTTTTTTTCTTAGGAAGTTAGGGTGATGAATTAAATATAGGGACTAATCATATGCTGCCACGTGGTGGTCATCTGAGAGCATCGCTCACTTCGCCGACGTTTTTGATCGGACGGTGCCGACCGTTTCGTTCTGTATTATTTTCGGTTATGTGAAACCTAAAATCCTTTGGTAAATTCCTTTAAGAAAAAAAAAATCCTTCGAACAAGGAATGTTTTCAAAATGAGATTTCTATCTGACTATAGAAGCTCGGCATACTTTTTGAATCTAATAAACTCGAAAAAATTGAGATTTTTTTTTTTTATAGAATAATTGAGATTGAGAGTTATTTTAGAGCGTAGAGTTTCTATCCTTAATAACAAAAAAAAAAAAACGAAGTGATCTTGAGAATGCAGAGCATTGACACATGATGGGCACATCCTCTTTTCAAAAGGACCAAGACAAATTAATAAATTAAGGATAAACTTTCAGACATTTTAAAAGTTTTAAATCCAAACGTAAAGAATTATTTATTTAATTAATTCAAATAATATTATTAGATAATAAATCATAAAATTGACAAATTATTTTCTAAATAATTCTTGCCAGATTATTCCGTCGTTAAAACAACGTTACTATTTTTTTATTAAAAAAAACAATAACAACGTTAACTTCTTGTTTATACACACATTTTGTAGTAAAAATTACACACAATCTTTCCGAGTAACATATAAATTTTCGAAAATAAGCTACAAGCAACTATTTATTGGCCACGAGTATGACTAATAAATGGACTAAAGGAGCATCTTTTCTGTGAGATCCAACTGAATAAGAAGAAAACAAACAGTCAAAGAGGGATCACTTTGAGCAAAAACAAACCACCTTAGATAACAACTCCAAGGCATATTCGTTTAAAAAAAAAATGCAAAGCATATTTAGAGAATTGATGCCCAATCTCCATTACTAGCCATTGAAAATGATTTCCTATGCTATCACGTCCTACTACTATTTACCATGTTTTGTCCGTGATCTCACACATTTGACCTTGAGACAATCCAAAAAGCATCCTCAAAAAATTGGCATTTTAATTTATCGGCATGCTCCATGTCATTTTTTTTTTTCTAGTTAAAAAAAAAGATTGTTAGTGTTCTCACTGTTTTCAGCTAATCTCAAGGGTCTAAATCTATTCTTAACTCGTGTTCCATGCCACTTGATCAATAACATATACACCTGCATACTATTGCATCCAAGGCAGACTCGTCAATATATCTAATACCACCCTCCAATAATAGTGATATAGCAATAAACAACGATCTACCATAACTCTGACATTCAACATTCATGATTTGATTTTTATTGTCCGCATGGATTGTCACTTGACTGGATGTGACTTTATACTGCGTGGATGCTAGCCGACATAGGACCTATATTTAGTATTACTGTAGATTTTAGAAAAATTATTGTTAATTATGTTGAAAAAAAATAATTACAAAAAATAAATGAGTATTTGGTAAATTATAGTGTTTGGTAAATTGTGATGTTAAATTACTGTGGGTAGTTAAAATGACAAAAATAGACATGGTATGAAATTTAAATATGTATTATACTGGTTCAACTGTAAAAAAAAAAAAAAAAAACATAATTTGTTCATGAGTTTTCTAACATTAAATTTATAATAATTAGTATTTTTTTATTTATTCATTCACAATATGTAGTTATAACGAAAACGAGCATTAGTGAGTAATTAACATATATAACCTAATTTATCATCAAGATAGAGACAAAATATACATTTCATTCTCAAAAACTCGTGGAGTCATTTTACAAATTAGGTAGTGCTCATTAAACTTGTAGCAATTTGATCTCGTACTTCACTTCATCTATTTCTTCTGATTGTAAAGCACTAGTAGCTTGATTTGCTTCTACATTGTCCTCTAGTTGATTCTCTTCATGAATGATACCATCTGAATTATCTGCGACTATTTGAAAATGTCAATCACGCTTAGCATGCCTCCTAATATAGTTATGGAGCGTCATTATTACAATAACTATTTTCACTTGCTTTGTGAATGAATAATTAAGCATGTCTCAAAATTTTTCATTTTTTCTCCCACACACTAAAAGTGCATTCAATGACACTTCTAAGAGAAGAATGTGCTTGGTTGAATACCTCCTTATAACCGGTTCGTTGACGACCCACTCAAAATTGTAATAAATGGTATCTTTCTCCTTTATATGATCTAAGAAATCTTTTTAATTATGGATATCTTGCGTCAACTAAATAATATTTACTTAAAATAAAAATACAAGAATTAGTTAAACGTAAAAAATATATTGCATAAACATAGACAAAGTTTTACCTAATTTATTCCCATAGAGAGATTAAATTGTCATAGTACAACATTTAGAGACATATGTAGTACAACCAAGTCAAGATAACTTGAACAAGAAAACCACACTAAACAAACATCTTATTACAAAATACACCAAGAAAGGATCAAACTTAAGTAATTAAGAGTGTGATCGTAAGCTATGTTCAAACTTAAGCCAGTTGAGCTTCAACTCAAGTTGTTTAAAAGCCATAAATGTCTCTCTCTTATTTTTGTTTGAAAACAAGTTAACAGCAAAAAAATACAAGTCACTCCCAATCTCTAATCCAGGTAGAGAATCAAGCACTTCGATAACTTTTGTAATGCTATGATTTGATGCTTCATTTTGTGCAATGAATGATCTGGTACTTATAGTCTCAACTATATCGATAAGGCGATCAATTTGTTGCGACAATTTAACAGCTCCTCCCACCTTCAAATTGCCTTTTCCTTTCTTGAGTTTCTTATTTTGTCTCTGATGTGGCTCAATTGACCGCTTCTTCTTACGATCTTGTGCCACTTCACTTCGGATAGGTTCATCTGACTCACTATTACTCTCAAATTCTTCAGGTAGGGTAGTACTATCATTTGCATTTTTATCAAGCTCACATAGAACCTCTCCAGATGAGGGTGTCACTCATGTGGCTACAGTATCTGTAGACATCCTATTTAACTTTTCTTCCAACTTTGGTTTCAATTCCCCGAGTGCAAATCTTCACTGCGTTAAGATGAATCTGCAAGAACACTTGAATAAATTAAAATTCATGCGACAATTCTAAACTAAAAAAAAAATGAACAACTTTATTGTGTATACCTATAATTATTATGCCACCACTCATCAGATGCATCAATAGTATTCTTTTTAATGTTCCAACCTAAATCAATTTCCTTCCCAATAAGTTCCTTTCAAAGCTTCCAATCATTCTTCAAAGCATCCCACTTATTATTTAATTGTTGTCTTTTATATACTCTTTTGGTTGCTTCATTAAATTTTCGAATTAAATTTTCCCATCCAACTTTAAAGATAAGTTCCAGGACAGTGTCCATCTTCCGCCTCTTTAATTTACAAATCACAAAAACGCTCTATAGAGTCCCATATTACTTTATCTTGTGGTATAGATAATACCATTCATTTGGGACTACTCAATACTATTTTTTCTATTTTCCATTTAAATGAGCAAAGTAGTAAGTAAACAATACATTACGTAAGAAAAGTAAAACATAACCCACTATTTATAAATGTTTTATTTGTCAAAATCAAATTGATCAATTATAACGTATATTTATTAAGATTATCAGTTCTAACATAATCAATGCTTATATTTGTAAGGCCTAATCAACAACAAAAAAAAAAAAAAAAAGAGTAGTAGGAGCTGTGAACACAAACCAATAATAGCAATACTACACCGCGTAAAGATATTGAGAAGAATGTATATTTAGTGGTCATAGGACCATGTGAAACCCAATATTTAGATGGGAAACATTTTTCTTCATAAAAGAAGTTTGACAAATAATAACTGCAAGTCTAAGCAATCGACAGACAGAGGACACATAAATGAAGCTAAAAACTGATGATTCTTTGGTACGATAGAAACCCAAAACTTCATATTCCTCATAGCACAAATACAAAAATAGCAACAAAAAAAAAAAAAAAAACAAAACAAAACGAAGAAGAAGCAAGAAACATGCAAACCAATTAAATAAACACAATCAACCAATCCAAATCTAATCCCAAAACACGAAATGAAAAAAAGTGAAGGAACATAATCCTAGAAAGAAGCTCAGAGAGAGAGAGATTGAGAGAGAGGGGTGTTTTGACCTTAAAAATTCCGGCTAAACGAACTAAAATTACCTTTTACGATTTTGGCTGTCTTATTTTAAAATTTTCTAAGAATCACTTTCTATAGTTATTTCACCTGTGGAGTTTAAAAGATACTACTAAACATACCCAAAACATAATTTGATTTTATGTATATTCACATTTTATAATTTTTTAAATGCTGCAATTTATACCTTAAAACTTGACTGTATACTAATATTTCAAACTTGAAATCCTAAAATTAAGAATCAACTAGAGTACTATATAAGTTTATAATTTTGTAGGCTTTGAAAAGTCAATTGAGCTCGACTATAGATTTGGCTCATGTTTGTTGTTAGGCTGCTAATATTTGTTCATTCTTTTATCAGTCATTATTTAAGCGAGCCTAGTGTTAAGCATCTGCCAAGGTATTTGTTCTAGTCTAGCCTGAGAAACCAAAATTGTGTAGGTTTATTTTTCCCCTTTATTTTTCAAGTTTTTATCTGGATGAAAAGAAATGCTTTTAGTTTATTTATGGTATGTTTGTATCATGGATTTAAATTTATAGTTTTGATTCTGTTATAGTATTTTTCTCACACAAAAAGTTTAAATTTCAAAAGTCACAATCAAAAGATAAAGTGAGATAAATACCTCTTAAAAACGCATTGGTCAAAATTTTTATCACTTACTCTTAATTAATAACATTTTTATCAAATAACTATACTAATAAAAATGTATTAATCAAGAATAATAAGTATAATTTAAAACTCATGTACTTTTAATGATAAATTATGTTTTTTTTTTAAATTTTTCTCTTTTTCAAAATTTACATGTATGTTTGAACTCTGATATGAACCCACGAACTAAACGAGCCATTAGTCCAAAAGCTACTTTTGAAGTTATTTAGGCCTCATTTAGTAATACTTTTAAATAAGAAAGTTTTTTTTACTTTTATAAGCTCTTTTAGCTTACGAAAAAAATAGCTTATTAATAGCTTTTTTTTTTTTTTTTACCTTTTAACGTTTTATTTATAAACAACAAATTAAAATTTTCATCCTATCATTTTATTACCATACTTTTTGTAACTATAAAGCTTTTGACTTATTTATCAAATATGTTTAAGAGCTCTTTTCCATGCATTATCCAAATACTAATTAAAAAGTTTTTACTCATGTTTTTCTTCTTCTACTACTTTCAGGTACGCAAGCTCCCCCAAACGAACCTAAAGTATAGTCTAATTGTAGCACCCCTCCCCTAAGTTTGTAGCTAAAAACTCCGTCAATGTATGAGAAACGCTAACGTAAAATAGATAATGAAAAAATAATATCTACTACAGATCAAACCCTCAACAAATTTCTTAAAATTACAAGTTTCAAATCGTAATATTTTTAAGCTCGTCATGTGAGCTTGGATAATTCTTACTTAGTCAACTGAAACTTTTATCTAAGAGCTTGCATGCATCATAAGAACTATATGAGCACAAACTTGGTAAGTAAACCATGAATTAATTTTCACTTTCAAAATAAATCTTTTTAACTTTAATTTAAGGCCCTCTTGTATAACATCAATCTTGTGTTATTAAACCCCTTATGTGTGGCCCCTATCTTGGAAACTATTATTTCTCAAGGATCTAGTCATTATCATCTTGAACTATCAGTTCATAACAAGTATAAGATTTCACATCATACTCAGAAAACGCTTTTAACATCTCATGAAAACATGTCAACAATAATATATATAAATTAAAAATTTTCTTTAAAAATTTATTCTTGTTCAAGTAAAGCAGTAGAAGATATACTTAGCTCACACTGAGATAGTCTCTTTTTTGTTCCTCATTTTCTTAATTTGTTAAAGGCTTGTTTCAGTAGTAGATATTATTCCATTATGCAGTATTATTTCATTTTAAGTTAACGTTTCTTTTAAACTGGCGGAGTTTTTAACTGCAAGTTTAGGAGGGGCATTACAACTCCAAATCATTTCCATTTTATTGGCTCTTCTCTCGTTTTATGGGGAACACAAGATCATATGACAACGACCCTTGTTCAGATTACATAAATAAATAAATAAATAAAGACTCACCAAGTCATTTGGAGGCCCAAGATAAGGAAGAAAAAAAACTCACTTCTGTAAAACTGTTTTATTGTCCACTATTCAAAAAAGAAGGAAGCAACAGAACCATAGACGCCAAATGAAAACCCTTCCATTTAAGTTGCTTATAAGGTAATACAACAGAACTATACAACTTTGGAAGAGTATCTATACATCAATGTAAAATTGGCTTCCCAACTGGAGATAATGGGAAACATGGCAAGTACAAGCTACTTATTAATGGACAAACAAGAAAGAAACGTAACTTATAAAAGATTTGCAGGAGAGAAGAGCTCCAATACTCATACAGAGGCATATTTTACAAAAGTGTAATAATGGAGATTTTCCATGATCTTCAAGTCAAGAGAAGGTTTAGGTGTCATGTCAGCTTAGTAAGGAATAGGAATAAGAACAGAAGGCGGGCCGGATTTCATGTCCTCAATGAGAAGATTCAAAAGAGCCTGGGTCACAGGACCCTCTCTGCCTATAAGGGGGAAAAAAGAACTTTAGATATTGCAATAAAATAAGAAACAAAATCTCAACTTTGACAGACCTAAAAATGTAACATAGAACATTGAAAGAAAATGACAAAAAATGCAATTTTTTTTTTTGTTCTACCCAATACACAACATTGCACCCCATCAAATTAGCTATATCATTTTTTGTTAATACAAGAAATAGCTATATTCGGTTTGCTATAATATTATGAACTGCCACACTTTGTGTGCAATATGAAGGCATATATGTTGAGTTCTTAATTCTTACCATCACCAATGACCTGCTCATCCCAGTAGAGAACCGCGCGAACAAGAACTCCACTGCCAAGAAGCATCATTTCACTTGCCTTCTTCCCTTCATCGACGGTCACGTTCGCTACTCTCGCTCCCCGAAGCTTCCCCTTGCTTACCAGCCTCTCTGCAAGGGTCAGAACTCGCTTAGCTGTGCAACCACTTAGGATTTTGTCAAAATGAGGCATCAGAAGCTCATTGTCTTTTGTGACAAAGGCCACGTTCATGTTAGGCCCTTCGGCAATGAACCCTTCCTCATCGAGCCAAATGGCTACAAATGCGCCATTCTCTTCTGCCTCCAACTTCGAGAGAACGTTTGGAAGGTAGTTCACACTCTTCATAGTTGCAAACTGAGGAGGCTTCATTGGAACAGATGATGTTATCACTTTGACTCCCTTCGAGTCAAAAGGCAATTGGTCTTGGATCACAACGGCATAAAGAGCCGGTTTGTTGTGGCTAGACGGCGACAATTGGAAATCGCCAGGTCCTGCCGAGAGCCAGTATCTTAGTGATCCATTTCTGCACTTGGAGGCACTCACTGTCTTTATGAGTATACTTCTTATGTCCTCCTTATCAAAGGGTAGGTTGATTTTGGCCATGGCTGCCGATCTTATAATGCGGTTGAGATGTTGATCCAACTCATACAGATATCTAGGGTGTCAAAGATACATATGAAATCACTGAATTTGTTGCTAACAAGGAAAAACAATGTTATAAAAAGAGGATTAAATGTACACGATGCTAAATTTATTTGCACAAACTTAATTGAGGTGTCATTTCAAGGGAGAAAAAAAGGTGTTATTGAGTGCCCACATGATTAAAAGTGGTTTATGACTAAATTTTGAAGTTGTAACGAATTTATATAAAGTGTTTGTGAGGCCACAATATAATGACTAACCCGTCCATTATGGCAGCAGTGTCAAAAACACCATGACCCCTGTGGACCATGTGGTCATCAATGGGGATGACCATAGCAGAAGGATCTGTTGTTATTCCACCAAAAATGCTCGAGTACATTGCCAGGAATTCTTGCTTCCCTTTATGGTTTTCCCTGTGAGCTTTCAGCCTCTCAGTTGCCTTAACATATAAGAGCTCAGTTAAAAATAAATAAATAAATAAATACATAAATAAATAGTACATTATAAGGGAGGAAAATGAAAGGGCTTTTCTCTTGTATTTGAACGAGTTACTCTTTTGCTTCCAAAATTCTCGATCTTTGGATAGACCAAATGTAAAGTAGTTGGAATTTGACAATTAATACTTGGTAAAAACATACGAGTAAGTTTTCACTTTTCAGGATAAAAGGCAAAAACACGTACCTCGGAGCAAGTCAGAAGTGGGACATCAGAGGTTTTAATGTAGGAATCTGAAACAAGACAGTAATATATAAAATTTCCTTCTACTCTTAAAGTATAAACTAAATTAACAGCCAAAAGTGAGGAAAAAAAATAATGATGATTTCACAGTAATATAAAGTCAACCAAAATAGTGATAAGCTTGGAATTAAAGAAACATTAGAGGAATAACAAGAACCAAGAACAAAGAGTGAAAAATCAAAACTTACCAACCAAAGCTTCATTTTGGTTCGAACTTCTAACAGTCCTCGTGTTTCTAAACGACCCAGGTTGAGAATACAGAAACCCAGATCTTAGAAGTGAAGTTCTACAGGGAACCGCCTTTGAACCAATATGTGAATGGTCGGTGGTTGTTTGGCGTGTAATTGGGTTTTGAGAAATGGGTTTCGTGAGAGATGGAAGGGAAGCCATGGAAAACAAGTTCTAGAGGGGAAAAACGAACCCTTTTTTTTTTTTTTTTTTTTGCTATATAAGGAAAAACAAATGTCTGGTATTTATTCGATTAGGAAATCCTTAAATAAAGTCGGACGCTGAAAAAAAAAAAAAAAAGACAAACAAATATGAATGTTCCAACTATTTTGTCATAATAGTTAAAGACAAGGAGAAAGATCTTGAATAGAATACCGGCTAAGTTTTACAACTCCAATTGTTGATATCGTACGTTTGTTTGTGTATCCATTCTAAGAACAAGAATCATTTCTCAGTTGGCATAAACTAGAGACATATGGGTGTTTTTTATTTGCAGTAAGTGGGACAAAACCGAATTATTTCGGGATTTATTAATTTGTTTGTTTTTGTTGGAAACTATATCTTATGTCATAACTGAGAACTGATTCAAGACGCAATGCTCTCTCCTGACCTCATTCAGTAATTTAGGTATAAGAAAATAATTGGCCATCCTCATCCTGTAGCAAAAGGGCTTTAGTCCAATTCTATTAGGAAGGAGCACTCCTATATATACTGATAAGGTTAAAAACCTCACTACTCATATAGGATAGATTCCGCTAGGTGAGTAGTGAGATTTTACTTAAGTTTAAATTTTCTTGAACTTAAATAGATTTTTAATTTAAATTATAATTTAAAGGTCTCGTTCATTTCGCCGATTCGAGTTTTGTTACAGTAAAAAGCTCTCAGAAACAGTCACATCTAACTTTTTTATTACAGTAAAAAATTCTCACATAAAATAGCATCTCAACTCAAATTACAAACTCAAATCAGCGAAATGAACAGGCCTTATACACATTTAAATTAAAAATTTAACTCAAATCATACTTAAATACATTTTAATTTAAATTAAGATTTAAATTTAAGTCGTCTTAACTCAAAAAATATAAATAAACAAGCTAAAACACTTTTGGTTTTAGGCACAAGAAAGCTAATCAATAATCATTAGTTGAAGTTTCAAGATAACCCCAAATCACCTGAAGTTAGTGCTTCCCACCCAATGGTTTCACCTGCCATCAACGAAAGCTTCTAGATTTAGCAAAGTTCATGTACAATGAAAATTCTAGGTAGGAAATCCCAAAAGAATAATTTTAACCATTAAATTTGAATCAAATTCTATTAATTATTTTATATATTATGTATTTTTGACGTGATTCTCATTGGAGTTAACACTTAAAAAAAGAAAAAAAAAGAAAAAAAAGAAAGAAACAAAACATAAAAAAACTGAAAATGACGTTTGTTCTAATAATTTTATTGATTTAAGATCATATGATTTTATTACAATATTTTTCTCTCTTCAAAAATTTAAATTTTACATAATTCTCGAATCGGTCTTCCCACTCATACCTGAAGAAAGAGCTCTAATAAGGCGCCGGAGCAGAAGAAACCCCGTCAAATTCCCGAGAAAATGCGCGAGAAAAGTTTCACTGATTTCTGTATCTGAAGCCAACGATCACAAGATGCGTCTCTACCTCATCGTACGTTTGGTATTTACGCTCTCCGAAATCTGAATTTTCTTCCAAAACCCAAAAAACTTGGCTGTCACATTCAGACTTGATTTCCGCAATCGTATCTAGGGTTTTCAAAGTTTTCCGACCGAACCATTGGCTTCGAAGCTCAGCAGTTCTCGATTCACAGAGCTTTAATTTTTGTCATTTTTGGGGGTTTAATCTCGTAATTCAGAGCGAGCTAGGGTTTGATCGATTCTCGGAGAAATGGCGATAATCGGCGACGCGCTTCGCCAGGCGTTCATGCTGAAGCACGAGTACGAGAGCCTCCGGGAAGAGGACAGAGCTTGGGGGAAGCTTCAGAGGCCGCTTTTGACGGCTTTCGTGGCCGTAATTTGTCTTGTAGTTGTCGTTTCCACGATAATCATGCTGAACATTGTTTTTCCGGCCGACGCCTCGAGGAGGCCCTTCTGCGGCGACCGGGCGCTTCAGCGGCTGCAGATTAACGTGAATGGAGAAGGGGGAGGAGGGGAAGGAGATTCCGAGCTTTTTCCCGGAGCGTTTTATCTGACGGATCAGGAGACCGTGGATTATTTCTGGATGGTTGTGCTCGTCCCGTCCACGATCATTTTCTTGTTAACCGCGGTGTATCTGATTTCGGGTAAGAGAATATTTTAAGCCTTCTTGTTATTTTCTTCAGATTTGAAAGTTGTTGCTGTTGATTGATCGCTGGAAAAATGTGGAAGATAAAGTTTGGATTTTTGGTTGTTTAGAGTGAAATCTCGAGTATATTAGATTCCCTGCACTAAAGTATTAAGCAAAATATCTAAAATTGTATTGCAAATTTGCAATTGGTTTGTACCTTGCCATGTTTCAGAAATTTTTTTTTGGATATGAGCAAAGTAGAAACTATGCACATATCGAAAGTTCTGTCGTGGAAGTTGCTACGTTGTCTTGACGTTTCATCTTCTGTACGGACTAAACTATAGCGTTTTATTGTTTGATCAGGAGTATCAGTTCATTTTTTTACTCAGGGACGGATGGATGGAAAGTACTAAAAAATGAAGCAATGGAGCATGTTAGCCATGTACAAATGGGAATATCAGGAATAAAAGTAAATAGTCCTAAGATGTTTGTAGAAACATAGTCCATGAATGTGTCTATAAAATCTTTTTGATAAAAAAATGTGTCCTTTGATATATTTCGGTTCATTTGACGCTTAATATGTAGTATAACCAAAATAAGAATTTAATTATGGTGAACTCAGTTGGCAATGTTGTATTAGTGATTTCTATCGGAAGAAGTAAAGTTTAGTACAGGACAGTGAACCTCTCTGTACAGCTAGGTATCCTTGCAACCAACTTCTGATCTGTAAATGATACATCCTTTTAGTTAAAACAGGCATTGAGTCTAAAATATAGAGAATTGGAGTTGATGGGTTTGTAAAGGATGTAAAGATTTTCAGGACAGCAGATGGCTTCTAGATATTTAGGAATGCCTAAATTCTTTTCTTTGTAGGGCCATTTTTTCTGAGCTCATATTGGTAGATGGTGATTATGCGTGGGGGAAAGAACTTATTAGTTACAAACTGGCGCCATCTTTTTAGGTATAATTGTATTTAATGATTTTGGGAAAAGTAAAGTACTTGGAAATGTAACTTATTAAGAGTCATAAATGAAGTAATCATTTTCCGGTTATGTATTTTTTTTCAAGGTAGAAGATTCTTGCAGTTTGTTTTTTTCCTTTAGCAAGAAAAGAAAACTATGCGGTTATAGGTTTAGCTTAGCCGTAAATTCACACACCTCTATGTTGATGTCTAGGGGTTTGTGTCCCCCAACTATAATTTAAAATAATAATAATAAAAAAAGAGAGATAAGAAAAGGAAAAAGTAAATTATCGCCTACTAAATCTTAGTCTGATCTCCTAAGATGTTTTTCCTTTCTGAAAAACCCTTTTTATGATATCCTATTTAATGGTCTGTAACATGTATCCACAATATCATTTGTTGCTTGTTCTGATTTAAGCATACATTGCATGATTGCTCATCCTTCTTATGATATTCTAATTTAGTGAAATGAAAGTTGTCTCTTATGTGTATGTATATTTAATGTAAATGATCTTTCTTATATTGGCTCCTATTAATATTATACTGAGATACATCAAGTGTTAGTATTAGCCGGTTTTTCTTGTATGAAAATCAGTTATTCCAGAGACACCGTTTCATCAAATTAGTTACACTGTTCAATATGGATTATATACGATTATTATGGTCATTAAAGAAAAAGTATTTTTATTTTCTTGGCTTCTTCTTTTTTCCTTCTTGCTTCATGGATATGCTAGGCTAGCTTATTTTTAACTCCTCGTTGTCATGCTGTAGGAATTACTTCTTCCTCTCATCTTCTTCTTCTAGCTTTTTTTAACTCCTCCTTGTCATGCCACAGGAATTACTGTTGCTTATTCTGCTCCAACAAGACATGGTTGCTTAAAGGTAGTCGAAAATAACTACTGTGCCTCAAAACGAGGTATCCTTTCCTTTTCATCATTAGTTCTTTTCATTTTCGTTTTCGTTTTTGTTTTTGTTTTTGTTTTTTTTTTTTTTGTTTTTGTTTTTGTTTTGCTCTTAAAAGTGTACTTTTGAGCTGTCTTTCTATTTCAATTGAGACTGTTAGGCTGTTTTCATCATTGGTAATTGTGGTACTAATTTCTGAGAAGACAAAGCTGTGTGTTTTTATCTACTTATAGCCTTTAAGATTGCAGTTTATCCTATAAGTTAAAATTTAAATGAAAAGGGTTTATGCTTAATCTATTTGCCATTCGCCCATAGTGGAGAATCAAAAGATATTGGGATACTGGTGGTTACTTGGTGGATGGTCCTTGTGTTTCTCGTTCAATTTTCAGTTGCTTATTGTGCTCTTGTTCCTGGATTAAGCACGAAGGGTCTGGGCTTGCTCAGTTAACTTAAAAGTCTTCATTTATCCTAGTACTCCATCTTATGATTCACTTCATTTCACTTTTGATGAAACAGAAGATGATATTTCTTCTTGGGTTGTATAAATAGTTGATACCAGATCTATTACTGGATTGCCCAAAGTTTGCTACAGAGGTTTTTATTTTTTATTTTTATTTTTTTCCTGGAAAAGCAACAGAGGATAGTTACATGTCCTTTCCCTTCATGTTATAGTAGCTGGAGAAAAGAACAATATGATTACGATTATTGATGTTTTCTTTCTACTATGTTCCATCATTTAATTGACTAGATCCAAGTAAGAGATGAAAGGTTGGGTTTGAAATGATAGAATTGCTCTTTATTGTGCTGTAAGTCATAATGTGAAACTTTCATCATATAATCTGCAGGTGGGGTACGTTGTCTGGCTATTCTGAATGCTGTTTTTGCGATCCTATTTGCTCTTCTTGCTTTGTTTCTTGGTTCAAGCCTCTTGACACTAGGAAACAGCTGCTCTTTGCCCCTCTTTTGGTGCTACGAGTTTGCATCTTGGGGTTTGGTTATCCTGTATGGCGGAACCTCCTTCTTCTTAAGGAGGAGAGCAGCTGTAATTCTTGATGAGGGAAATTCCAGCGGTCGAAACCTTGGGCTTGAAATGTTAGAAGCCAATCCCGTAGAAGTCACCCCAGAGGTTGAAAGACGGGTTAGTGAAGGATTTAAGGCGTGGATGGGGTTGTCCCTCTTATCTTCAGATGAAGAAGATGAACTGGACAGTTATCATGAAGCGTCTCAGTTAACACGTACCAACTCTAACAGGGAGACAATCTAACATTGAAACAAAAGCCTCTTTTGGAACTTGACAACTTCCTGGCCTCTTTTTTTGGTAACATTTCAACCTTGGAAGGGGAGAAGGTTCAATTCTTTGACTCACTAAGATGCAGCTTTATGATGGCTAAACAAACTGTTGAATATGCGCAATCAGACGGGGCTGTGTCTATGTCCACTCATGTAAGCCGCCACTTAATACATGCTCTTTGCTGATCTTTCATAGCCTGTGAATAATTACTAATAGAATTTCTACTTTTGTTTTGAAACCGAGTTGTGAAAAGAAAGCAGATTTTGTATGGCCGTTTCTGAGCTAAAAAATTTTTAAATGCTAAAAGAGTTGTTATATTTTGTGCATTTGTCTACAAAGCCTGTTGTCTGTGTAGATTTTCTTGCTCTTAAGTTGGGCAAATGCACCTCTCTGTTTGTAGCATAATACTTATTTTAACAGTTTTGTCCATAAAATGTGTGTTTGTTGTGCCTTTGCCACTCTTATAACTCGTGTGGCGGTGAATCCTGGACTTGGACTGCGAGGAAAGACTGCCCTTAAATTGAGGGGAAAATGTTAAAAGGTTTTTCGACACTTTTGGTCTGAATTTTGCCGGTTTTGGCAACTGGTCCCACAAACTTATAATATTGACGAGTCACCCCTTTCAACTTTTTGAATTGCTACAACGCGGTCATTTTATATTTTTATTAAGGGAAGAATTTATTTTTGTATCCTCTGATATTGTAAAACAATCTCTAAATTGCCTTTTATTTTTAATAAAATATAACGGCATCTTCACGTGTATAATAAAGTGATTTTTGTCGCATTTTAGGTATTGAGAATTTGGAAATTTAGATATTTGTGTTAGAGTTTGAATAGATCTTGAAAGAGAAAATTATAGATTTTACTTCCTTCAATACATGATTTATTGAAAGTAACTTTACAGATTGATTAGTTTTAGTTTAAAATGTAGAAATATATGAGTTAATATTAATAGGTATAAATAAAAAAGGACTTCATTTTAAGGAGTATTTTTAAAAATTGTCATTTTGAAAGTTTTGATCTGACCTGCTTTTTCATCACAAATTAAAAACAATAGTACTCAAAATATGTAACATTGCTACAATTCAACAAATAGAGAGGAAATAAATTCTCAAAATTACAAGTTTTGAGGCAAGTTATCAAAGATTAAAAAGTTCAGACTTTAGGCCTAAAAGTGCAAAATATCTTAAATTTAAAAGTTTTTTTCTTAGTAAACATATTATTTTAAAGACAAACCAAAAAATTAATTCAATAAATTATTATATCTTACCAGAATTTCTCTAATTCCCTTAAAAAAGTATTTTTCATATTTTAATTTAAATATCGAAGTTTAAATAGAAAGTTGAAATGTTGCGAAAATTTTGAAATATTATGAGTTATAAAATTTAATATTATTATTTAATTTAAATAGGAAAGTTGAAATGTAGCGAAACTTTTGAAATATTAAAGAGTTATAAAATTTAATATTATTGAAATAATTAATTATATAATTAATATACTACAAAATGTGTTATTATTATGTAAATTTTTGCAATTTTTATAATATTTTTACAATTTTGTTTAATTTCTATTAAAATTTTGCCATGTAGAATGTAGTAAATAGCAAATATTTGAAACTAAATTAGTAAATATCATATTTTGAAACTATTTAAAATAAATAGCCGTTTATGTATTCTCTAAAAATAGCAGTTTATGTGGTAAATGATTCATAGACGGCTAGTAAAAACATTTTTTTCTCATAAATCTTCTTTTTACGATTGGTAAAATGAATTTTTCCATGTAAATAAAGATTTTTTGAAGATTTTTTGCCACTTACATTATTTTTTATTAATCGTAAATGAAATATTTACACGATAAATAATTTATTTACCACATAAAATATTATTTACTTTAAATAACTTTAAAATATATTATTTACTTAATTTAATTTTAAAAATATATTATTTACTACATTTTTGCTCTAGGTAATTATCTCAAGGGAAAATACATAATATAGCATATTTTGTAGGTACTTTTGAAGCAAATAGCATAAATTATATCAAACATAATAAATTATAGCGCATTATAAATTTTAAATAGTTTGCTTCCCAAATTTACCCTTAAGATTTTTTCTCTTCTTTTTCTCTCTTCCCCTTCGTGATTCTCTATCCTTAGTCCCCACTCTGACCCTCTCTCCTACGCCAGTCGCTCTCTCTTCCACGACCCTCTCTACTTCGCGACTCTCTGTGCTATGGTTTTCAGATCGGCGGTTGCGATTCGATCGTTATTGAGCATATTTGGTTATTCTCCTTCATTGGTGAAGAAAACAACCTTCCTGGCAACATAATCTCGACTGAGGAGAACCGATGTCGTGAAGGGTCTTTGTTGAGGAGATGCTCATGAATCGCCGCTGGAGAAGAAAGTCGGCCTCGCATCACACAAATCGGCATCGGAGAAGGAGATCGGCATCATGAAGCAACCTCGACCTAGACATTGTGTGTTCGGCCTTTGTTCACGGCGAAGTTCTCTGGAGAAGATGATCTGTGAAGGGGGTGGAGATATTTTTGGGGTTTCTGTCAGATATTGATGTTTTCTTGTATCGCTATTGTTACTTCTCCATTCACTCTAACCAAATCTGGCCTTGAGATCTTTCCAGTTTTTAAGGTTAACAAACACACAGATATATGTATATATATAAATCGTGATCAATATGTGAAAAAAGAAGTAACAATAAGATAAATCATGTTTACAGTAAACCATTTGATGCACAATGGCTATATATAGCGTTTGTTATCATATTTAATTTGCAAGGTTTTTATTTATTTGATTATGAGTTTGTCATTTTATCTTGATTTGTGTTCGTGAGTTTTTGTAAAGTATTTACTAGATTGATTATGGTAAATACTTTGAAAATACTATAATAATTACAAGTTTAAATATGGTAAATACTATAATTATCAGTAAATATTCTACTGATTTTGGCAAATACTATATTTACTAATAAATATTTTACTGAATCCAATTTTTAATGTGATAAATATTATATTTATTGATAAATATTTCATTATATTCAATTCTTAATCTCATAAATATTGTGTTTATCAGTAAATATTGCACTGATTCGAGTTTGAATTTGGTAAATATTGTATTTTCGAGTAAATACTTCACTAAATCTAATTTCTAATCTACTAAATACTATGTTTACCAGTAAATACAGTATTTAACGATTGTCGGAGTGGGTCACCGTATTTTTGAATAAAAATGGTAAATATAGTGTTAAACAATCGTCGAATTTGGTGTATGAATTTTCAGATAAATATGATATTTACTAGTAATTACGATATTTACTAGTAAATACAGTGTTAAGCGGTCGCTGGAGTCAGTACCTGAATTTTTGGATAAATATAATATACACTAGTAAATACAATATTTACCAATAAATACAATGTTAAACGGTTACCGGAGTCGGAGGTCAAATTCTGAAGTTGGAGGTCAAATTTTCGGGTAAATACGGTATCTACCTGTAAATACAACGTTAAACGGTCGCCGAAGTCGGTGATTGTCTTTTTGAGTAAATATGGTTTTTACTAGTAAATATGATATTAAATGGTAAATACAATATTAAACGGTCGTCGGAAACACATTCACCAGAAAAAGATCACCGATCGCCAAAAAATGATCATTGGTCGCTAGAGACGGCCGCCGGTCTCGACTATGGTGGGCTTGACTATGATTTACTTATTTTAAAAAATATGTTATAATTTAATACTTTTTTTAAAACAAATTGATGTTTAAAGGGATGAGTAAAGTGGACAAGGAAGTTTAGAGGTATTTTTAAATTTTAAATAATGTTTAAAACTTAAAATATTAAATTATACTATAATTTACTATTTTTAAAAAATATGCTATAATTTACTAATTAATTTACCAATTATTTAATGGGAGAAAGAGAGAAATAGGCTAAGACTTGAGATGAATTATAATTAATAAGCTAATAGTTTACATAAGTTAATAAATATGTCAAATTACTGTTTTCGTTCATAATTTGTCTAGTTATGAACCATAACTTGACAAGTTATTGTCTATAAATCACAGTTTTTATCCATAACTTGTCTAGTTATGAACCATAACCCGACAAGTTTATCCATAACTTATCTAGTTATAAACCATAACTTAACAAGTTATGACCTATTAATTTTTATAACTAATAGTTGGCCTATATACTTCTTTAAGCTTTTCATATTGTCTATTTTCTACTATTTCCGTTATTATTTAATTTCCCTCCTTATCCCTTATCTCAAGCGTCAGGCCTAAACCTGAACCCAAGCCCAATCCAATCCAATGGGCTACATCAAATCCATTATCATCCCAATAGTCGTCAAGAATAAACCCTAACGTCGCCACCTTCACACCTCCCTCTCTCTCCCTCTCATACCCTTCTGCAACTCTCCTCACTCCACATTCCGATTCTTCTGAAGCTCCAACAATGGCGTCCTACGACTACGATGACTCTCGCGCCGGCTACGAAGAGTCTTCGGCGACTCAACGAGGCTCGCAAACACCTTCCTCCGGCCAGGACCTCGGCTACGACCCGAACTACGTCCCCGATTCCGTCAAATCCTTCGTCGTCCATCTCTATCGTCACATCCGCGAGAAGAACGTCTACGAGATCCACCAGATGTACGAGACGTCGTTCCAGACCCTCTCGGAGCGCCTCTTCAAGGACACGCCATGGCCCTCCGTCGACGCCGTCGCGCCCTGCGTCGATAACGACCACGTCTTCTGCCTCCTCTACCGTGAGATGTGGTTCCGCCACCTCTATGCCCGCCTCACCCCCACGCTCAAGCAGAGGATCGACTCCTGGGACAACTACATCAGTCTCTTCCAAGTCGTGCTCCATGGCGTCGTCAACATGCAGCTTCCCAACCAGTGGCTTTGGGATATGGTCGATGAGTTCGTCTACCAGTTCCAGAGCTTTTGCCAATACAGGGCTAAGATGAAGAACAAGACCGACCAGGAGATTGCGCTTCTGAAACAGTTCGATCAGGTAATTCTCGTTGGCTTTGGTTAGGTTTTTTAAGTTTTGAAGGAAATTTATGAATCTTATATCTTGCAATTGGCTGGTTGTTTTTTTCGAATTTTCTTTTTTTTCTCAAATTTTTAAGAATTAGTAGAATTTTTATATTCTTCAATTGGTGAATTAGTAGAATTTTTAGCTCTTGGAGGTTTCAGACGCATTTAGGCCTCTGTCTGATAAAACGTGAATGGCAATACGGCATCTGCTTTTCCTTGCTAAAAACAAAAAATTCAGCATTTTTCTTAAAGAAAACATTGTTATAGGTTTAACATAAAGTAATTCTTGCTTAATTTTCAATATATATATATATATTTATTTATTTATCTGAGAAATGCTAGCATCATGCATAAAACAGAGGGTGACGCTAGCATTTCTCATTTCTATTCTACATAAACAATGCCAAGCAAGGTCGAACATACTAGCTGCTTATACGTTTAACATAAAGCCAGTTTTTTTATTTTTTTATGTTTAGGGTTCTGAAAGTTGAATAAAAAGTTAAGTGAATCAATTAAATCAATTAAGAAAATTCATATGTTGATGAGTAGCTCTAGACACTGCCATTCACAATCATGAATACGCATACTTGTCCTTTGCAAATTCTTCTAGATTTTGTGCCTCTTTGTTTCAGTTGCATGCTATTAGGTGATAAATTATGTTGATTACAGGCATGGAACGTGTATGGTGTGCTCAACTTCTTGCAAGCGCTTGTCGAGAAGTCCATGATTATTCAGATTCTCGAGCGAGAGAAGGAAGGGCTTGAACAGTTTACTTCCTTGGATGGATATGATTACAATGGTGGGAGTAATGTCTTGAAGGTATTGGGATACTTCAGCATGGTGGGGTTGCTGCGAGTTCACTGTCTTTTGGGTGATTATCATACTGGTCTCAAACGGTTGCTTCCAATTGACATTAGTCAACAAGGTGTTTACTACACGGTTATTGGATGCCACATTACCACAATATATCATTATGGATTTGCTAATCTGATGCTAAGGAGGTATGCCAATCTGTCTGTTTGGTCATTGTGATTAAAACCTGTCTTGTGTTTGCATCTTTAAATATGGGATTCTTTTAGTTTTGGCTCATTTCATCTGTAATGATGTAAGATCCGAATTGTCAATTATTCCATAGTGGATCAGATTTATCTATGATTTCACGGTGAGTCACTGTCAATTGCATTAGGTTTTATGTTCATAACGAGAAAATTTGTCATGGTGGAGCAGTAATTGGATTCTGATTTCTAAGTATCTTCTTCTAGGCTCTTACAAGTTTCATTAATACCGATTGTTGATCCACTCCCCGAGGAGTGGGTTTTGTTAGGTCCGATGTTTCTTGTCTTCATATCTTGCCTGATGTGGAATATTTTTTTGTACAGGTACACAGATGCAATTCGTGAATTCAACAAGATTCTCTTGTACATCCATAGAGCTAAAAATTACCATCATAAATCTCCACAGTTTGAGCAGATTTTGAAGAAGAACGAACAGATGTATGCCTTGTTGGCAATTTGCCTTTCACTTTGCCCCCAGATGAAGCTTGTTGACGAAGTTACTGTAAATGCTCAGTTGCGAGAGAAGTATGGTGAAAAGATGATTAGAATGCAAAGATATGATGATGAGGCATTTGCAATTTATGACGAGCTCTTCTCATATGCATGTCCAAAGTTCATTACCCCTTCGGCTCCAAGTTTTGAGGAGCCTCTTGTAAATTACAATCAGGTATTCAAGAGATTGGATTCTCCTCGTAGATCATACTCTGCTTATCTTTGCTAATTTGAGACTGGGAACATTCTAAATGAAATAATCCATTTCATGTAGTTAAATAGCTTTTACAACTATGCAAAGGTCACTAGTTGAACGAAGCAAGATTACATTTTTCTTTTATTTCGACTTTACTTTAGTTTTTACTCTCTGGGGTTGCCTTATGGTTTAAAGCTTTAAGCTGTATATGCGTAACACAATTCAATTTGTTTTGCAGGATGCTTATAGACTTCAGTTGAAATTGTTTCTTTATGAAGTGAAGCAGCAACAGTTGTTATCAGGTGTCCGTACCTTCTTGAAAGTTTACTCGACCATCTCTCTCGGGAAACTAGCGAGCTACATGGAAGTGGATGAACCCACCTTGAGGTAATCCCTATGGGTTCTATAATAAACTTTTTGTTCTTTGTTTCAATTGTGTATTGCATTCTTATCCCTTTTTTTTTTCCTTCCTTTTTCTTCTTTTGTCTGGCAGGACTATCTTGATGACGTACAAGCACAAGACACATGCTGTTGACAGTGATGGAAAAATAATCTCCAATGCTGATGTTGATTTCTACATTGACGATGTACGTTTATTAAGTTTCTTTAATATTCTTTTCTGTCCATGGAGAAATTAATTTCAGAAAGCACCTACTTATTCGAGTGAAACAGCTGTTAGAACCAATCTTGAAGTCTGAAGGCCTTTTTTTTTTTGGTGCATACATAATATACTGAATTCAATTCCTTGTATATAATAATGTTGATCTTACTGCAGACTTTGATACTAGTTTAACCTTCAAGAAAATGTTATAAGCAAACATGAGAGGAGTTTTGAGATTGATGCTTATTATCAGCTTTTGGATTGTGTAATTTGTTGGAAATCTCTCTTTTTTGCAGGACATGATATTCGTGGTAGACTCCAAATCAGCAAAGAAATATGGGGATTACTTCTTGCGTCAGATTGTCAAGGTATGTGCAATTTCATCTTGTGCTATTTTCTATCATACTAATGGCATGTACTTGGTCTTAAACTATTTCTTTATTTCGTGATTACAGTTTGAAGAGTTGATGAATAATCTGGAAACTATTTCTTTATCCAAATGATTACAGTTTGAAGGGTTAATGAATAGCCTGGACGCGGTAAAGCTGGGTGGGTTCACGAATAATCCGGATGGGGTAAAGCTGAAAGGGTTCGTGAATAATCTGGATAAATGAATTGCTAAGAGTTGGTGTTAACCGTTCTGCTCGTCTTTTCTCTTTTCAGTTGATGATTTTGGTTATTTTTAATTTTATTTTATCCCCTTTTTTATTCGTCTATTTCTCAGCCATATACAAATCTTGTACAAGTGAAAGTAGTTGGCTCTTTAGATATATAATTTTCAGCCTTTTGCTTTAGCAACTTTTGATTAAGAGATGAAAAAATCCTCCCCTTATGGGGTTTTTGCAAAGGTATTTTTGGTAGCAAAATTGCCTGCAACTTGCAATTTTTTCGATGAAATTAATATATTTCTGAAACGTTTTTTTTTTTTCTTCCTGGTATACTTGTGTGGCTAATGTGACTTAGGATGGTTAAAGGCGCTGCTTAATGCAGCGTGGGTCCCACCTTAGGCTTCATAATGTAGTCTTGGGGTTGGTTGGTTGGGAGACTCGTACCTGATTCGAATTATGATTTATGGTTCGTTACAGTATTTTTTTTTTAAAAATACACGTAAATCGAAAATAACTCTAATCTTATGATTCTAATTCATGAACCAAACGTCTTCTTATATTTTGTTCCTTTTTTAAAAGTTTAGTACAGAGTAGGTGGTCGGTATTTTGTTCACGAAGACAACCTGCTCAACCATTTTTGAGATTGATTAGATGGTCAAAATTCTGATGACTGGGCAGTCGCCACTTCTAGTTCAATACTTGCACAAATGGTTGGACATCTTGGTATGGTTAGATCAAGAATGTTTGGGATTTAGAATTATGATTCAAAATTTTTTTTAATTTATGTGTTTTTTGTGAGAGAAAATATTATAACGAATCATGAATCATGATTTGAATTAAGGCATAAATTTTTGCTCCAAACGGAGGGAAAACCTGCTTGCTTGTATCATTCTCTCCCAGCTTGCAATATTGTCTGTCTGCTATCATTTCCACGTGTTCTCCCAGAGAGAAATGTGATTTGATGTCGCAACACGCGCACACGCATATAGCCTTGTGCTGAAGTTGAGGAGTTTTTTAGCATGTTTATGAGTATACAACAGCTGCAAATGCATCTTTTGGGAATTATACCCCTTAATAATAACAATACTAATATGATAATGTAATAATAGATTTATAGTAGTTTGTTCTTGACGCGCCATGCGAGAGCTATGTTTCTTTTTATCATAGAGTTTTATGATAATTAGAGAAAAGGTAAGAAATGTTCTAGCATCTTACATATTGTCTTACAAGACACCTCTCCTCTTTCAAAAAAATGCAATTGCCCTGAGAAATCTTTATAGAGCTGACTCCCCTAAAAGAATTCTTTATATAGCACAAAAATTTGGCAAAGTGATACAAGTGTAGACTGCCTATGGGTATATGTAGAATGCCTAAAGTACTCTTGAAAAGGTTATTATGCGGTGGACGGAAAAATGTGTACAATCATGAAGAGGTTTCACACATGACACAACCTAACAATATTACGCCGTTAAATACTAATGAACTTTGAAGCTCGAACAAATAAAGTTTACTCTCTCTATCTCTCTCTTTATTTTTCCATAAATCATTATTCGGTCTCAAATCATTACATAAATCATTATAGAGTAATATTTTGAACCATTTCCATGGAAAGTAATAATAATAATAAAAAGGAATAATAATTGAAAGAAGGTATTCGAAGAATTTGTTTATTCCTGTTTCTTTATATCCTAGAGGTTGCCAATTGGGCTTAATATAATAAACTAATAATAGATATATATTGTTTGTTATGCTCGCAAGTTTATTTCGGTCATTTTAAAAGAGTGAAATTACTTCATAATGGGAAAATCGCCGCCAAGTGTGTTTTAGTGGTATGTTTGAATGTTAGGTGTGAGTGAATACACACTCAACCCAACCTTCAACTTTGCAACTCTCTCTCTCTCTCCTCTCTCTAAGATAGTTTAGAAATAGGACAGAGCGAGTTCCAAAGTTGAACCACTCGACTGTTTGATTGCTTCATCAACTTCATAGACGTAGTCTTTTACATATGCTTATAAGTTCTCTTCCATATAAAATGAGTGGATAGCAATGATTCTCTTCTAAATTCTTACATAAACATACCATACATATATACAAATATATATATATATATATATCATGGGCACCTACCAAGTAACATAATAAGATCATTGTAAGGAATTGGGCACACATAATTAAAACATTTACTTGGCCAAACGTTATATTAGAGAAAAGAAATGGTAAGATGTGCAAGATGTTGCTTGCACAAGTCCATGAGAGCTGTGAACCTTTTGGTCAATCTGTGTGGCGTTGCCATGATCATTTACTCACTTTGGCTCCTCAAGAAATGGCATTTGGGACTAGCTGATCTTCCCACTGTCTTGTACTTGCCTAAACCATGGTATTTGATCTTGTCCTCTTTTTTATTCTTTTTCTCCAGCTAAATGGAAACTTATCTTTCAAGGTTATTTTTATCTCAAGCCTAAATGTTTCTTTTGTTATCCTTCCTTCTAAAAAAAAGTCCAAATGTTTTTTTTTTTCTTTTTTCCCTGCTCTCTCTCACAAGTGTCGGTGCTGCACTTTTTAGTTGTGGTGATCACTCATCACCTTATTTTGTTATCCCTATAAAATTCAAATTTTCCTGAAATAATTATTAAAAAAAATGTGTTACACAAATACAATATATATATATATATATTGTGTGTGTGTGTATAGCTAATTAATTAACTTATGTGATTCTTTTTAGTCTAGTGCTTTGTGAATTTCCAAATCAAATTTTGGGAATTAATTACAACTGCTAATTTGTGTTGACAGGTTTATATATGCATGTTTAGGTGTGGGAATTGCAGTGTGCTTGAGCACAATCTTCGGCCACGTAGTTGCTAACTCCCCCAATGGTTCCATTCTTTGCATAGCATCCTTTCTCATAACCTCAATTTTTCACAATATGCTCGTTTTTCCATTAGTTATTTCTAGCATGTACAGTAGTTTTTGGAAGAATTTGCTCTCTCTTTTTAACCAATTTTCATACACGTTCACTATGAATTATTGAAGTTATAATTCTCATAAAAATAAATCACAAGATCTTATTACTTCAGTTGCAAAGTCATTACAGAAAACTACAGCAAAAAATTTGCTGCTCATTTGATCCTTAACCAGGTTTTATGTAGTACATTTTCTCCATTTGATTTCTTCTTATGTTGGAAGTCGCCGTGGTTGAAACAATTTTCTTCAGGTTCAATTGGGATGTGGTATGCTAATTTCTTAAAAAAAAAAAAAAAAAAAAAAAAAATCTTTACAACTTTTATTTTTGAGTTTTACAATTTGATCATCAAATTTTAAGTAGTGTTTTGCAAAATTCACCCATGATCGAAAAGTTGGTCGTGCTTGGAATGGGATTTTTTTTAAAATCCCAATTATACCATTGACCGAACAGTGAATTAAAGTTAGATCCAAGTGCGTAATGCATGTGTTTCACTTAGTAAGAACTTATTTAAGAGGCTTCTTCACTACCCAATTTCAGACAAATTGCGTTCTTAAGATAATATTGTAATATTTACCTTCTTTTCAATCCTCAAATTTAAACTAAGGGGATCATTAATTTAGATTTGCAAAATGGCACTTTCTATCTTTCTTAAAAAGCTTTTATGCTTTCAAGGTAATTAGTTCTTTTAATTTGATAAGCAATTACAATGTACCTAGATTTATGAAGTTGAATAATTGGTGATAAAATAAAAGATTATTATCACTGATGCCTTTAAATTTTAGGGTCATTTTCAGTTTATTACTTAAATTTTAAAAACTCTCATTTTGCCTCATAAATTTTGAGTTGTTCATTTCTGTTAAAAAATGATAGAATAAAAGAGAGTAATGCAATCGCGTTGTATTTCTGTTAAAAACAAACATATAAGAACCACATATCAATCACTTAACATCTTTTCTTTTTCCGTATGATTTTAACGGAAATTACAACAGAGGAGGTTAAGTGAGAACAATTTAAAGTTCATGAGGTAAAATGAGAATTTTTAAAGTTCAGAGAATAAATTAAGAATGACTCTAAAATTCAGGTACACTTGTAATAATAATCATAAAATAAAAGAGCTTTAGGGAGTAAAATGCCGAAAACATAAAGATTGCATGGATAATTATCGAGTATTTTGTACCTTTAGCTCCTCAACTTTTAGAGTTTTGATAACTTACTTCTTAAATTTTTAATTTTAATAATTCACCCAACAATTTAAAGATCCGTTATAATATAATCAACTCTCAATCCATGATAAAACTGGTAAAATGAGGCACATTTTAATAATTTCACAATTTGGGAGGTGAAATATCAAAATTAATAGTTCAGAGGACAAATTACTAAAACTTTATAAGTTTAGAAGGCAAATGCACAAAATCACTAATTCAAAAGAAATATAAGACCCACATTTGTAACACTGTGACAAATTTGGGGTAATTTGTCAAAGCACGAAAAGTTGAGGGGTAAAAAAAGTTACTCAGGAGGTCAGCGAGAGTCTGCTCTTGACTCTCTCTCTCGGCGATGAATTCTCTGAGCTCTGATCGGACGGAAAATCTCTCTGCGTCTTCTTCAAGTTCGGAGTGCCAACAAAATGGCGGTTCTTCATTTTCACATCTCCCTCTTGTTCCTGACCCTGCGATTTATGCCGTAAATTCTCTCTACTCTATTCCTTATTATCTTCTCCTTTTTGAACTAATTCCTTCGATGAAAATAATAATAATATCATCAAAATGGCTTAAAAATTCAGTACCCTTTGTTTTTGTTTTTGTTTTTTTTGGACAACAGGTTATGACTGCCTACGCCAAAGATTCCAGCCCATTGAAGCTGAATTTGGGTGTTGGAGTTTACAGAAGTGAGGTAAAGCTCATTTCTCACTTTGGAAGTCTAATTCAGCATGTTTCATTCTTTTGCTCCAGTATGATAGAACTAGAAATAGTGCTAGATAAAGTGAATTTCTTGATAAATCATATAAACCCATCAAACCAATTTTGGCGCTTGCTTTAATTGATAATAAGCTGGTTTCTTTGACAAAAAAGCTGGTTTTATTTGACAAGTCCAAGGGAGTAGATAAAATTTTAGCATTTTTATGATAAGCCTCCTTTACGATTTACCTATGTGAGGAGGAAGACTCGGGAGAGGGGAGTGGCGGATGCAGGGAATAACAGTGGGCAGGGGGATGAATTGGCAGAGCAAGAAGCTGAGCTGGCCAGTTGTGTGTGAGCTGGCATGTTAGTGGTTACTCTGTAGGTTTAGGGGGAAAGTTAGTTACAGGAATAAGGATTGTATAAATAGCAAGAGAGGGGGATTCTTAGGGGGATCTTGAATTTCCCGTGATAATTTAGAATTTGGGAGTGCACGGGGTCACTCGAACACCCCCATATCTAGGTCATAGTTTCTGTAGTTTCTGTAATTCTCTGCCATTGATTTAGCTCGCTGAGCTTGATTGTAATTCGTTGTGCATAATTCAAGTATTAGATTGACTGGAAATTGCTAGACTCTGTTTGTGCTTATCAATTGGTATCAGAGCACTTTTCCGGGGATGACGAGGAGGGCGGACGATCGCGACAAGGATAATACGGAGGCGAGTAGGGAGGAATTGCTGAGGGAGATGGAGGCGATGCGCGAGGATGTTGGAAAGATTCCTCGATTGGAGCAAGGTCTAGAATTGTTACTTACGAGGATGGATGAGTTGTTGAAACAACGGAATTCCACAGATCGAGAGTCGCCGGAGGCGGAAAACGGAATTCCGGCGGAACAGTCGGATCCTATGGCGGAAATGGGGGAGAGGCCGATGAATTGGCGGGAGGGAGGAAATCGCACAGAATTCCGTACTCGGAGAGTTGAGATGCCGGTCTTCGACGGCGAAAATCCAGACGGCTGGATATTTAGGGCTGAGAGATTCTTCTTCATGAATCGGTTGACAGAGATGGAGAAATTGGATGTGGCGGTGGTGAACCTGAGGGAGAAGCCTTAGCCTGGTTCCAGTGGGAAGACCGGAGGCGGGCGATCCGTGATTGGACAGAAATGAAGAGGATGCTTCTGGAACGGTTCCGCTCGACTTAAGAGGGTACTCTTTGCGAGAAGTTTTTGTCCTTGCACCAGGAGACCACGGTGAGGGAGTACCGCCGGCAGTTCGAAACCTTGGCTGCGCCGTTAACAGAAGTTTCAGAGCAGGTCTTGGAGAGTGCCTTTGTGAATGGACTAAAACCAGAGGTAAGGGCGGAGATACGAATGCTGAAGCCTAATGGGTTGGGCCGGATCATGGAGCTCTCCCAACGGGTGGAGGAGCGTAATCTGCTGGTCCGCGGGCCCAAGGCCCAAACTTCTACATTTAATTCTTGGTCCAGAGGAGGCTCGGCTTTGTCTGGGAATGGGTTGAGGGGAAGTCAGCCTTTCAGTGGAGGATCTAGGAACACGACTCCGGTTGTGGCGGTGGGACGTTCCTCGACGGCGACGGAAAAGCCCAGGGACGCGGCCAACGGGACGGCGCCATTCCGGAGACTTACGGATGCGGAGCTTCAGGCGAAGAGGGACAAGGGCTTGTGCTACCGTTGCGATGGGAAATATTTTTTTGGACACCGGTGTCCCAACCGGGAGTTACAAGTACTCATCGTTCAGGAAGAGGAAGAAGCAAGGGAAAAAGAAGACGGAGCAGAAACGGAAGTGGAAGAAGAAGTGGTCGAGCTATCCCTAAATTCGGTGGTCGGATTAACATCTCCGAGAACCATGAAACTCAAGGGGATGCTGCGAGGACGAGAGGTAATCGTTTTAATTGATAGTGGTGCCACACATAATTTTGTTTCCGTTGATCTAGTAAAGCAATTAGAATTATCGATGGACCGAACTTGTGACTATGGTGTGGTGATGGGGGCTGGGTTGTCCGTCAAGGGAGAGGGGGTGTGTAGAGGGGTCAGGGTCACTTTGCAGGAAATCAAAATTGTAGAGGATTTTTTACCGTTGGAATTGGGAAGTTCAGACATGATTCTTGGCATTCAGTGGCTAGAGACGTTGGGGGTTACGACGGTGAATTGGAAGAATCTGTCCATGAAGTTTACCGTGGGGAATCGGCAGATAACTTTGAGAGGGGATCCTGGCTTGAATAAGACTTCAGTGTCTTTAAAGGCTTTACATAGAGCCTTTAGTCAGGAAGGACAGGGGTTGTGGTTGGAATGGAATAATTTAGAGTTGAGTGGTCGGGAAGGAGATTGGATGGTACCTAGGGAGTTGGAGGAGGTATTACACCAAAGATCTTCGGTGTTTGAGATGCCTGCGGCCTGCGGGGTTACCCCTGGAGCGTGCAAAGGATCACGCGATTGTGTTGAAGGCAGGGACTTCCCCGATTAATGTGCATCCATATCGATATCCTCAAGTCCAGAAAGAGGAAATTGAAAAATTGGTAGGTGAAATGTTGGCTGCGGGAATTATTCGGGCAAGTGTGAGCCCTTATTCTAGCCCTGTCCTCTTGGTTAAAAAAAAAGACGGGAGTTGGAGATTTTGTGTGGATTACAGGGCTCTAAACAAAGAGACGGTACCGGATCGTTTTCCTATTCTGATAATTGATGAGCTCCTCGATGAGCTCCACGGGGCAGCAATCTTTTCAAAGATTGACCTTAAATCGGGGTATCACCAAATCCGAGTCAAATCGGAGGACGTGCCCAAGACCGCTTTTCGTACCCATGAGGGCCATTATGAGTTTTTGGTGATGCCATTCGGCCTTACCAATGCTCCAGCAACATTTCAGTCCCTCATGAATGAGGTGTTGCGAGTTTTCCTTCGAAAGTTCGTATTGGTTTTTTTCGATGATATACTCGTTTACAGCCGAACCTTGGAGGAGCATGTTATTCACTTGGACCAAGTGTTAGGGGTGTTGCAGCAGCACCAATTGTTTGCAAATGGAAATAAATGTAGCTTCGGCCAGCAGTCCTTGGAGTACTTGGGACACATCGTCTCCGGCAGGGGCGTGTCGGCGGATCCGGCAAAAATTGAGGCAATGCTGAATTGGCCAACTCCGACTACGGTACGAGATTTGCGAGGATTCTTGGGTTTGACGGGCTATTACCGTAAGTTTGTTGCGGGGTATAGTCACATTGCTGGCCCCCTGACAAATCTTTTGCGGAAAGATGGGTTTCAATGGACGGAAGAGGCCACACTAGCTTTTTCTCGCTTGAAGCATGCTATGACGACCGTGCCGGTGTTAGCTATTCCTGACTTCTCGAAACCTTTTGTGATGGAAACTGATGCTTCAGGGTATGGGGTGGGGGCTGTATTGATGCAGGATCAGCGACCCATTGCATATTTTAGCCAGGCCCTTTCCTTGCGGGGTCAAGGGAAATCGGTGTATGAACGAGAGCTTATGACCATTGTGTTGGCGGTGCAAAAATGGCGTCCTTACTTGCTCGGCTGTCATTTCGTGATCCGAACTGACCAGCGAAGCCTTAAGTACTTGTTGGAGCAATGCCTGGTCAGTGTGGAGCATCAAAAGTGGCTTACAAAGTTGATGGGGTATGATTTCGAAATCCAATTCAAGCCTGGGCAGGAAAACCGGGCTGCGGATGCGCTATCTCGGGTTGTTTACTCGCCCGGACTTAGTGCCCTGTTGGTCTCGTCCATTGTGGACACGCAAGAGTTGCAGCACCAGGTAAGGCAGGACGGAAAGCTTAGCCAGATCATTGCCGATTTACAGCTTCAGTCCGACGCGCACCCTGGTTACTCCTTTGGACAGGGGCGGCTGATGTTTGAGGGCAGGTTGGTGGTTCCTCGAGGTTCGTCTTTCATTCCTAGACTCCTTCATTCGTACCATGATGGGGTTCTTGGGGGACATTCGGGAGTTCTAAAGACTTACCGACGTTTGGCGGCGGACTGGTTTTGGTCAGGGATGAAAAAAGATGTGATCTCGTATGTGGTTGCGTGCGACGTATGCCAACGTTGCAAGACCTCTACGTTAGCACCTAGTGGACTGTTGCAACCCTTGCCTATACCCGATCGAGTGTGGGAGGACATTTCGATGGATTTTATAGAGGGATTGCCCCGTTCGGAGGGATACGATACTATTTTGGTTGTTGTGGACAGGCTTAGCAAATATGGACATTTCATTGCCTTGAAACACCCGTTCACAGCGGAGTTGGTAGCTAGGAGTTTTATACGAGAGGTGGTGCGCCTCCATGGAGTTCCTAGGACGATTGTAACAGACCGAGACCGGATTTTTCTGAGTCACTTCTGGACTGAACTTCACAAGCAAATGGGAACTACTCTCGCGCGCAGCACCGCTTACCATCCGCAGACGGATGGCCAAACCGAGGTCGTGAATAGGTGTGTCGAAACCTATTTGCGTTGTTTTACTTGGGAACGACCCGCCAAATGGTATAAATGGCTGGCTTGGTCGGAGTATTGGTATAATACTTCGTTTCATACGGCTGCGCACACCACTCCTTTTCAGGTGGTCTATGGCCGGTCCCTTCCGCCGCTTTTGCGCTATGGGGTGGGAACATCCTTGGTGGATTCAGTGGACCGGCAATTGCAGGACAGGGATGCCATGTTGGACGTACTCAAGTCTCATTTGTTGCGTGCTCAACAACAAATGAAGGCGGTGGCTAATGGGAAACGCCGTGATGTGCAGTTTGAGGTTGGTGATTTAGTGTACCTTAAGTTGCGCCCTTACCGACAGGTTTCTTTGGCTCGACGCCGCAATGAGAAGTTAAGTCCGAGGTTTTATGGCCCTTTTTCGATTGCCGCTCGTGTGGGGCCTGTGGCTTATCGTCTTTGCCTACCGGAAGGGGCGGCCATCCATCCGGTGTTTCACGTTTCTCAGCTTCGCCGTGCGATTGGCAGTGGCCAGTTTACATCTACGGTTCTGCCACAGTTGTCCGGTGATTTGGAGCTGTGTGGCACGCCTGCAGCGGTTCTGGGTGTGCGCCAGCGTGTGGTGGGAGGGCATTCCGAGTCCGAAGTCTTAATCCAGTGGGAGCATCAGCCGGAGCATGATGCAACCCGGGAGTCCTATGGGGCCATTGATCGTCAGTTTCCTGATTTCCACCTTGAGGACAATGTGCGTTTTTGGGGCGGGAGTAATGATAAGCCTCCTTTACGATATGTGAGGAGGAAGACTCGGGAGAGGGGAGTGGCGGATGCAGGGAATAACAGTGGGCAGGGGGATGAATTGGCAGAGCAAGAAGCTGAGCTGGCCAGTTGTGTGTGAGCTGGCATGTTAGTGGTTACTCTGTAGGTTTAGGGGGAAAGTTCGTTACAGGAATAAGGATTGTATAAATAGCAAGAGAGGGGGATTCTTAGGGGGATCTTGAATTTCCTGTGATAATCTAGAATTTGGGAGTGCACGGGGTCACTCGAACACCCCCATACCTAGGTCATAGTTTATGTAGTTTTTGTAATTCTCTGCCATTGATTTAGCTCGCTGAGCTTGATTGTAATTCGTTGTGCATAATTCAAGTAGTAGATTGACTGGAAATTGCTAGACTCTGTTCGTGCTTATCATTTTACCCCCCTTAACTGTCAGCGAATTGATAAATTGTCATTTGGGCTTTATGTGTGCTCGTTATTAGTGTGCCGAGGTGTTCTCCTGTTTTTAGGTCTCAAGCGTGCGTCCGTCCCTCTAATGGGTCATTAGCATTGCACTGAGATGACTGTTTATCAGTTTTTAATTAAATACAATTTTCTTTTAAAAAAATGTTGTAGATTTACTTCTAAATTGACTAAGAATGTTAATGGCACGACCAACGACGTGCTCCGTCTTCATCTGGAATTAGTGCTGCTTTCTTACGGGCTCACATGACATGAATGAGGGTGTTTCTGTTAAATTTTACCAGCCATCGGTTTGGAGTGTTCGGCAATACTATATAATATTGGGGGTAATATGTCAAAATAAAAAATTTAGTAGAAAACTTGTCAAATTGTAAACGTTTAGGGGCAAAAGTGCCTAAAATTCTGTTTAAAATGCCCTTACACATGACTCTGCTGATTTGTTCTTGTGCAACCAATTCAATTTCTTTTTGGAATTTGATGGTGTGACAACAAAACAGGATGGAAAACCTTTTATTCTGGACGTGGTTAGACGAGCGGAGCAGCTTCTAGCCAATAATCGGTATAGTTTATTTATTTATTTTGTTATTATTATTTTTTATCTATAAATGTAGTGAGTTTGCATGAACTGGTGCTTAAACTGCACACTTATGCTATGCATGATTTAGGTCCGCAAATAAAGAATATCTTCCTATAACTGGAATACCAGAATTCAATGAATTGAGTGCCAAGCTCATTTTGGGCAATGACAGGTAATCAAGTACTAATCTAATTGGCAATTTATTTTTTAGATAATTCACCTTATCAGACTTAAATGTGGTAAAGCTTCCTTTCTATGGCAAATTGAAATAGTATTCTCTGAATCTGAATTGAAAAAAAAATGATTTTACTAATTTCATGAATCATGTGTTGCTGTGGGAGTAGCCCTGCTATCAAAGAGAACAGAGTGACTACTGTCCAGGGTGTAGCTGGTTGTGGCTCACTGAGTCTTGGGGCTGAGTTTTTGGCGAAACATTACCGTGTAATGAGCACTTGTCTATTTGCCAAATTTTCATCCTTGATTTGGTTCTGAATTAGAGTTGAATCCCCTTTGTTTTTCGCTTATTATGCAGCAAACAGTATACATTCCCGATCAGACATATCCAAACCACCCAAATTTTTTCACCTCTGTTGGTCTAGTAGTGAAGACATACCGGTATTATGACCCAACAACATGTGGGCTGGATTTTCAAGGTCTGGAGGATTGTCTAGTATTTAAGCTACTTTTGTGTATCATTTATCTTGTTGATAATACCGTCTTTATGTAAATTGTCTATCACTTCGTTTGCAGTATCAATAATTGTATATATTTGAGCTGCTTTTATGTATCATTGTTCACTTGTACCTTGTTTATTTTAATGGCTCACATCATGTGGGCAACCGGCAACGTCTATTTCCATTGCCAACTTGGGAGTTGAGATGATTGCCTGGGGCTTTGGATACAGGCTTAATGGAAGACCTTTCCTCGGCGTCACCTGGAGCTATTGTACTTCTCCAAGCATGTGGTCATAACCCAACTGGTGTTGATCCAACAATTTCACAGTGGGAGCAAATAAGACTTTTGATGAGATCAAAAGGGTTGTTGCCCTTTTTTGATTCTGCTTATCAGGTGGGATATTTCTACATTGAATCTTAGAGCATTTTAGATTGCACGCCTTTTTGTGTTAATTAAACTCTGTGGGAGCCTGAATCCTCACCAAGAGAGTGTGGATTCGAGTGACTCTACCACTGTGGTCGGTTGTACAAACACTTGTGAGTTGTATTCAGAAGTCAAATATCTGCTTTTAGAAAAATCCAATTTTTTTTCAAACATAACTGTCTAAATTTGAATTTTGGGAAACTGCAGATAAAAAACATGACACCAAATCATAACATCATATGCCTTTTGGTCATCAATCCCAACAATCTCCCACTTTCCGAAAAGCTAGGGTCATCACATTGAGGACTATACAACTATGATCTTGATAAATATCACTGGCCCTTGTGTCTCTATCTTAATACATTTTCAATTAAATAAAATAGTTATCCATTCTTGTGCAAAAATATTGCACAAATTTATGACCTGTCCCATTTTTGTGCGAGGCTAACCAAAGATCCGAACTTATAGCAAGATTAAAAAACAAAAAGAAAAAGGTTCTAGTCGTCTACTATTCTGATCTCATTAACCTTCGTCTCCTGAACTGTCTTAGGGCTTAGTTAGTGGAGACCTGGATGCAGATGCATGGCCGCTACGTTTATTTGTGGCTGATGGTGGTGAGTGCCTTATAGCTCAGTCATATTCAAAGAACATGGGACTCTACGGGGAACGTGTTGGTGCACTTAGCATTGTAAGACTAAGATCATCTCTTTAGCAGTTAGTCATGTCGTTTAAAGAACATTAATACGTTTTGTTACTTTTTCTTTTCCTAACTCCTGTTATCTACTTCAATGGTTATTTGGTGAATAAGATGTCTAATGAATGTTTACCATTTAGTAGGTCTGCAAGACAGCAGAAGTGGCTAGGAAGGTCGAGAGCCAGCAGAAAATTCTGATCCGACCCTCGTATTCTAACCCTCCTATTCATGGTGCTTCCATAGTGACTGCTATCCTCAAGGACAGGTATTAAATAAAAGAAACTAGAAAGTCATTTTGTCGCTGCCTTGTATAAGACGATCTAAACGTGGAGGAGACTAATTTTAGCTATTTAGAACACAACATATATATACTCCTTTTCGCATGGTCCAAGCAGGTTATTAAGAGTGACAGGAAACGCTATTCTGGTATCTTCTTTTCTTACGTCACAATAAAGATTATATGTATTCATATATGTAGAGAAAATACTGAATTTGAAAGGTTGTTTCTTTGCTGCATATGCACACTGATTTGGAAGTAAAAATCCAAACCGGTTGGTAAACAAACAACGTGAAATACGTAAGGCTTGACGTGGGAAATCAGTACTTCAAAGCGAATAGATGCTTAATTGCAGGGATATGTACAACGAGTGGAGTAGTAACTTGAAGACAATGACTAACCGCCTTGTCAGTATGCGACGAAAGCTTGTTGATGCTCTGCGTGATAGAGGCAAAACCAAATCTTTACTTGTTTAACTCATTTTGTCCTCTCTCTCTCTCTCTCTCTCTCTCATTCTCTCTCATGTGTTGAAACATCTCCCTCTGAAATTTCACAGGCACGGCTGGTGACTGGAGTCACATAAGCAGGCAAGTGGGAATGTATTCTTTCACAGGATTAACTCCAGATCAAGTTGCCTTCATTACTAAAGAATACCACATCTACCTCTCGTCAGACGGGTGAGCTAACAGTATATTTTCCTCAACTTCTTTGTTGAAAAACTAGCATTAAACAAAATATGCAGTAACCAAAAGGAAATCTGGTATAAATATAGAATTTCAAATCCCTTTTTCGGTAGCAATGATAAGTAATCATAGTTATGTCAAAATGCTTTATTTGCTCTCAAAACTGTTGCTCCTTTTGCACTAGTTTAGAAATTAGTTGTGTTCTTATCTCTCTAATATCTGATTTTTTGGCACAGTGGCACTTCATGATATTATAGAAACACAGACAGACGCATAAATGGGTATATGTATCCTGAACTTATTTAAGACTTTATTTTTCGTAAAATTTTGCAGGAGGATTAATATTGCTGGTCTAGGCTCTAATACAGTGCCTCATCTAGCAGATGCTATTCATGCAGCTGTTACTCGTGGTGTTTAAGTTACCGTCAGCATTAACAATCCAATTGTTGGTCAATTTTGTTAGTTTGTTCCCTTTTTTTCCCCTTTCTTTTTTCACCTTCGAAGAATTAAATACTCGGCTCTAGCTATTATTGTTATTTTATTCGGATATTCAATGTAATCAGTTCAAAAAAGAAAAAGAAAATAAAGGAAAATGGCTTTTTTTTTAACTATTTTTTTTAATAAATGACCGAACTTTTTATTTTTTAAATAAGTGGCTGAACTTTTTTTATTTTAACAAAATGGCCTTTTTCAATAGTCAATTAGTGGTTCATCTATTCATTATTATAATTTATCAATAATTTATCATTTACAAACATATAATTTGTTGTTTGAAATTGATTAATTACTAATTGATGTTAACTAATTATTAACTAATATTGATTAATAATAAAAATTATTGAGTTAATCAGTAATAAATTTAAGTCAATGAGCAATTGACCGTTGGTCAATCAGTGATGGTTAATCATTGATTGACTATTTAGTTAATAAAGAAACAACCATTTTGTTAATTTTACAAAGTTTCGGTTTTTTTTTTTTAAATCTTAAAAAAAAGGTCATTTACATCTATATCTCAATAATCTAGTTCACTAGAAGTTGCCAAGTTGGTCATTTTTTCATTTTCCTTTTTGGCTAATATTTATAAGGACTTTCTCCGATAGAGTCGTTTATGACCGTGATTTGGTGAAAATCACATCAGACTAAAAAAAAATATGCACAATAGATAATTTTTAATACAGATTTTATTATTGAAAATAGAAAACTATCAATAGTTTATTTTTTCTAGTGGAAATATTTATATATGGCTACTAGCGTCATAAAACAGTACGTTTGAGGCAACGATTTTCTTAACTTATAATCCAATTATTAGGTAAACGCCTCTTTGTGTGTATTTACATTGATACAATGATAATGTTTAGCAAGATTGCTGTACTGCATACAAATGGCAAACTAACACAATTTATGTTATATATATATATATATATATTTTTTTTTTTTTTTCAATACAATTCTATTTTACTTTTTTTTTATAATTTTATTTTGTTCTTTTAAGTTTATCTCTCATGTTTTTTCCCTTCACATATCTCAAGGTTGAGGTTGTGATTAAGTCGAGTCAGGGACGAGATTGAGTCATGGTTGGGATGGAACTCAATTAAGGTTAAACCAGTGTAAGGACATGATTTAGATCAAAGTGACATTAGAATACAAAAGTCAGGTCAGACTGGATCAATAATCAGGATAAAAGACGATATAAGATTAAAATTGAAATCGAGACGTAAACAACTATAATTTTTGGTAATCTAAGGATAATCTATACAATAAAATTTTATGGTGCATTTCCATCATATTTTATGAGACAAACACCCGTTTGTATTGTGAGAATACCACAAGACGCAATACAATACGCTTTAGAATACCATAAATCATTGTAATTCAATTTTACCTTAGGCCACCCACCTTTCCACAATCAACTAGGTAAGCTGACAGTCTCGAGTCTCGACGCTTATTGGGCCCAGCCACAATCAAGGTGTGCGTAATCTCCCTTACGGGCTTTGTGAATTGTGATCCACACCTATACCAGCCCATCAAGCCCAATTGCTTGACAGTTGACACCTCAATCATCGGTTCACGAGCCCTTCCCATTCGAAGCCACGCATGATTTCACATCAATATATCAGTCTCTGAAAACAGCCAGAAAAACAGTCAGCCCACAGGCTACAGGCTTGCATAACTCTACCTTGATCCACGTGCCAACACACCGAAGCTAACTTCCAGGAATATTGTGCCACGTGTCCTCGTTATATAAGCTTTACCGATCTTGACATTTCTACGTCATTACTGTAATTTCGCGTGACAATAAATTTTTTTTAATAAAATGACATTTTAATTTAAATTAAAAATTTAAATTAACAAATTAAGTCTCACAACCATGTAAAAAATTCCTCGTATTATTAGAAGACTAGACATACTAACATTAATGTTTGTCCGCATATTAAACTTTCTTTATCCACGAAAGTATATTAAAATTAAGTTGTTAAATGGTCATCAAAACTAATAAAAATTCACAAGAAGTTGAGAAGCAATCTTAAATTATTTTTAGTTATATGAGATTGTATTTGTATTACACTTGTTTGACATTACCCAAAAAAAAATCTCACAAAGAGTACGTACGTCCAAAAAAATAATAAAAAAAATGAAAAATGAAAAACTCAAATGAAGGGATAAGGAGTCCACGTAAGATGACATCAGCAAAGAAACCGCAACTATGACTCGCCGCGTAAGGAAAACCGTCCCTGTTAAGGTATAAAAACCAGTTACCAATTGAAAACCAAGAATGCAAAAATTAAAAAAATAAAATTAAAAAGTTACCCAAAAAAAGCGCGCACTTTAAGCTTGGGAAACTAGCGGAAGCCGCTAAAATGCGCCCCCGGTCTACATCACCTCTCGCCCACAGTTCTTCTCCTCTTCCCCCTCCTTTTTCTTCTTCTTCACCAACTGATCGGAGGTTAAACACTCTAGTTCGACACCTTCTCGTTGAGAATTCGAGTTCCGTCATGGATTCCATCTCCGCTTCTCCTACTTCCGCCTTCCATGGCGATTCCGTCTTTGCTCACATCGTTCGTGCTCCGGAGGATCCTATTCTTGGGGTACTCTCTCTCTCTCTCTCAATTCAGTTGGTTCATTTAAGTCTACGGAACAATCACAGAAAACGTACACGGCACGTTGTGATTAGTTTTAGTTTTCATCACTAGTTATGAATTGAAAGCTCTGTTTATTTGTTTTTTATGATTTGTTTTGTCGGATTCATAATCTTCTTTTGGCTAATGGATGTCGATGCGTTAATCAGAAGAAAGTTTCGTTTTCGTTTTTGTTTTGTTTTATTTAAAAAAAAAAATCAGTTTTCGAGGATCGCGATCGATGATCATAAACTGGTAATTTTTGTGAGACATCTCATCAGAGAATATATGAATACAAATTTCTTTGATTGATCCTAGGTTTTTGGTTATATTCTTTTGATAAATACGAAATTTTTTAATGAGCTGAAGCTAAGCCGAACTTGGGGGATTTGATTAATCCTAGGTTTCTAAATTATTGAGTCCTAAATCATGATAAATAAATTTGCTTTTCTGGGATGAAAACGTGTTCCATTTTCTTTGGATTATTAGGTGCCAAGTATTAAGCGTAAAAGAAATGTTGTCCTTTAACCATTAGAATGAACTAGTATTTTGCCCATCAATTTTATCAAATTCTCAGAAAAAAAAAACCTTGATCCTGTTTTGTGATCGATTTAGATAGTTTCTTTGGCCCTAGTCGTTGTGTGCATAAAAAATTTCCTTTGAGCTAAGTGGTGACCTTTTCCAGGCCTATGCGGTGTGTTTGGCTGTAGGTAAGCAAGCATTTTTGTGGATCACGCTCTTTTTGTGCATAAATAAATCGTCGCTTTGGACCTTTTTTTGGAACTACTCTTGAATCCCATCACTGCCCATTTTTGGTTCTGAATTCTCTCTGGAGCCTGTGCATTTTGACTTTGACCTCTTCCCTTTTATCCTTCTATTTATCTTGACAAATGCCGTTTGAAATTTTGGAACAGGTGACAGTTGCATATAACAAAGATCCAAGCCCGGTTAAATTGAATTTGGGTGTTGGTGCTTATAGAACAGAGGTTAGTGTTTTGTTCAGAATTACAGAACCATTTTTGATCATTTTGTGCAGAGTGAAGCATTATGGACAGTTAAATTGGTATCCGCTTCTTTATATTGGCATCTAACATACACATTAGATGCTTTTGAATGTGTGAGTGTGTTTGTCTAATGGCAAATTTAATCTAGTTACAGGACACGTGGTGAATATGGTTAATTCAGTTTCATCTAGAAAGGAAAAAAAAAAGAAGCTAAGAATTCATGTAAATTATTATTATTCTAAATCCTCCTGCGATTTTAGTAGCAGCTGACGTTGTAATTTGTGCGAGTATGTTAAAGGGAAGTTGGTCACTGTGTTATTATTTCTATAATTTCGAGTATCCTAATTTCCAGTTCCAGAAGAGTCAGGCTTTAATAATGTTAGACTTGAGATGATTTGTTGTTAAATTTCTGATGTTCATTCATGGCTTAATAGGAAGGGAAACCTCTTGTCCTGAATGTGGTGAGACGAGCAGAACAGCAGCTTGTTAATGACGTGTAAGCAATATTATCTGCAGGCCCTTGCACTTTCGAACTCTGTATGAAGTAGTTAATGATTCTTAATCTACATGACTTGCAGTTCACGTGTTAAGGAATATCTTCCAATTGTTGGACTTGCGGATTTCAATAAATTGAGTGCTAAACTCATTCTTGGCGCTGACAGGTATAACAGGCGTATGCTTTGATTGGATAAATAGTTCCAATTTATTCATGCTTGATCTTTAGCTCATTTTTCTTTTAATTAATCATCCTTTTACTTGCTTCGATATAGCCCTGCTATCCAAGAGAACAGGGTTACTACTGTTCAATGTTTGTCTGGAACTGGCTCGTTGAGAGTTGGAGGTGAATTTTTAGCAAGACACTATCATGAAGTACGTACTGTTTCAGCTTCTTTCTTTCTTTCTTTCTTTCATTTTTTTGGCCGTTAAATAAAGCCGTTAGATATATAGAAAAACTTGACGTTGTTTGCGTTTCCCTGCAGCGCACAATTTACATACCTCAGCCAACATGGGGAAACCACACAAAAGTTTTCACACTGTCTGGATTATCTGTGAAAACCTACCAGTATTATGATCCAGCGACACGCGGACTCAATTTCCAAGGTGAAGTATACAATTTGTTTTGTTTCACCTTCTTATTGTGATTCCATGTGGTCCAGCACTCGTATGATTGTGGTACATAACTTGATTAATTTTTAGTCTTTGGTTCTGTGTTTTGATATTCCTTTAATGTGATTACCAGGCCTCTTAGAAGACCTTGGTTCTGCTCCTTCTGGAGCTATTGTGCTGCTGCATGCGTGTGCTCATAACCCTACTGGTGTTGATCCAACCCTTGAACAGTGGGAGCAGATTAGGCAGCTGATTAGATCAAAAGCATTATTGCCTTTCTTTGACAGTGCTTATCAGGTACATTGCTAGCGTACATTTGAGCAGCTTGGCATTCCACTTCGCTGAATAATGCTTTCTTTAGCATGGACACAATTGCTATTTAACTCTCTCTCTCTCTCTCTCTCTCCTTTGGTATTATTATAGGGTTTTGCCAGTGGAAGTCTGGATGCAGATGCACAACCAGTTCGTTTGTTTGCTGCTGATGGTGGTGAATGCCTTATAGCTCAGAGTTATGCCAAGAACATGGGCCTCTATGGGGAACGTGTTGGCGCTCTAAGTATTGTATGTTCAATAGATCAACTCCCTCATAGTAAATTGTATTTTTTGGTTCAATTTATTCGGGTGCTATGTCTGTATTTGAACGATTCTTTCCTTTTTTTTTTCTCTCCCTAATACGTGTGTTGATCTACTCTTCAATTTTGTCTAAACTTTACTGTCTATTATAATATTCTACTTTTACATAGGTCTGTAAGACGGCAGATGTAGCAAGCAGGGTGGAGAGCCAGCTGAAACTCGTGATAAGACCCATGTATTCTAACCCACCCATTCATGGTGCATCTATTGTGGCTATCATCCTCAAGGACAGGTAACCATTGCAAACTGGTCCAGATGCCTGGTAGCAGTGTTTGGTATATTTTATTTTGGAAACCATTAGTCTTTTACTCAAAGCCTTATGCTCGCATGCATATGTGATACTGGGTTTATTTGTACAAGAACGTAAATGAAAAAAACTTGATAATGGACTAGATGATAAGATGATATGATTTTTTTTCTGAATATTTGACCTAAGAGAATATCATCTTAACTACATGTTATTTTTTTTCTGTGTATTTTATGTTTAACCATGACCGTAAAACTTTTTTTTTTAACAGGGATTTGTACAATGAATGGACTATTGAGTTGAAGGCTATGGCTGACCGCATTATAAGCATGCGCCAGCAGCTCTTTGATGCCCTACGAGCGAGAGGTAAGCATTTTTAATCGTATCCTCATTATTGCCATCGGATGATTGCACTGGTTTAATTCTCTCCTTAGCATTTCATTTTTGCTGTCACCTGATGTTCATACTTCTTTCTATTTCTCCTCATCTTATAAGAGTATTCTGCTATTTTTTCATGGTTTAAGTGTCCATGACTAGTCTAAGGGCCTGTTTAGTTCGCTGATTCGAGTTTTTAATTCGAGTTGAGATGTGATTTTATGTGAGAGCTTTTTACTGTAGCAAAAAAGTTAGATGTGATTGTTTGTGAGAGCTTTTTACTGTAGCAAAACTCGAATTCTAAACTCGAATCAGCGAAATGAACGGAGCCTAAGTATGCTTGTCTTACTCATAATATTACCCCTTTAATATCGACCTTTGTATCTGAGACTTCCCCCCAGTATGTAACATTTACGTAAAACACAGATGCATGTTTCAATTAGGATAGATTAACGAATCTCATCTGTGTGCTGCTTGTCTTTCTATTTTGTAGGTACACCCGGTGACTGGAGTCACATTATCAAGCAGATTGGAATGTTTACTTTCACTGGATTGAATGCTGAACAGGTTGCCTTCATGACCAAAGAATATCACATATACATGACGTCTGATGGGTAAGTAGCTTAATTCCCGTGGTATAAAGGAGGTGTAAAGGATGAACTATACTCTGTTAAGCCATATCCAATGTGAGTCACTATTAGCTGCATTACTAAGGGCATCTCCAACTGGACTCTATTTTGCTGTCAAACTCCAAATTGGTGCAGGGTTTTCACTCCAACCATGCACCACAAGCCAACTCCACATCTTTTATGTCTCATTTCTTATTGTTAAACCCTAAAAAATTTTATTTTAGAAAAAATAGCGGAAAGCGCTCAATGAACAGTGTTGCGCCAGATTTGACGCAGCATTGTAGCCAACTCCAAAAGCTTTTGGTGCAGGATTGGAGCGAAAATCCTGCGCTAATTTGGAGTTTGACTCCAAAACAGAGTCCGGTTGGAGATGCCCTAGTGATTATAGCAAGACTGGCTCCCTTTAATTAGTTGATTAAATTTGGATTTTACACTTTCTGCACCACGCTTTTGTTTTTACTAGCCATGTATATCATTATCACTCCATTCTGTTCCTCCACTATGAAATATAAGTTACTTAGGAGGGGGGGGAGGGGGGGGGGGAAGTCGCTACTGTTTCAATTTCTTTTCCAAGTATATATGTCGTGCTATCTAATTCCTTCACTGAGATATCAAAATAGTAGTGTAATTTTTACATTATTAATGATTGCTTACAAGCATTATTGATCATTGTATAGTATTGTACTCCTGAAACATTATTGCCAACAGATATATGTCTCACATAATGCATGAGCATAAGAAGCGCGAATATTAAGTACTAAACCAGTTTCTCATTGAATTTGCAGGAGAATTAGCATGGCTGGTCTGAGCTCCAAGACAGTTCCTCACCTTGTAGACGCAATACATGCAGCTGTTACCCGGGTTGTCTAGACCTGTCAACAGACAGGTTTCCTGTGAGTGAGCCAACTTTTCTCCAAAATGGTTCAACTCTTCTGCTTTTGATATTTTGTTACAATAATTGTGTCCTCAACCAGTGAAGAGGTCAAAGGATTTGTTGCTTAATTTAAGTTGGGAACCCAAAAAGTTGCTGCCAGAGATTTTGGAGAAAACTATTCCTATAGCGTTTATGTTGTACAATTGTTTTGATTGTCCATTTCTCATCAGAGACACATCCCTTTATTCTCCTTACTTTTTTAAAATTCAAAATAATAACCAACATTTTGTGCATGACGTAGTGCTCCAAGGTGCAAATTTCTTGATTGTCTCTAGAATAATTCTACTAGAACAGCTCGGTTTGAGCTTTGAAATATTGGAGTCGGGTCTTTTATTAATGCCCCCTAAGCTAGCAGGTCATTCATCAATGCATTCATATCCAGCCAGCATAAAAAGCACTACTTCTGGTAGATGCTTTAATGCTTAAACCAGAGTTCAAAAGGGAAATCCATAAGCAGCGGAATAAAAAGAAATGTATTCAAACGCTAAGAGAAAGTTTGTGGAACCATTTATTTGCTTCTCATTATTAAGAATAGGTTTTACAGTTCTGCTACAAAATAAAACACAACTCTCTAGGCTACACTTATCATGGGACTTCAAAATCTCGTACTCAGTCAACCTGCAGTCTTACTTAGTTAGCAACATCACCAACGTGTATCACAAGAACTATGTGAGCTAAAAGCTTAGTAGAGACTTATGCATGAACTACACTTTGCATAAGGACGCCGTGAATATATATTTTGCATGAGCATGCCGTGAGACATTTCTTTGTATTAGCCTTTCATTGTTTAGTTCCTCCCGAAAACAAGTCTTTCAGGTGCTCTGAAGTGTGGTACTTAATTGATGATGATAGGCCATGGTTTTCGAAACCTGTTCGTCATATTGTGGCCAATAAAATAATAACAATACAGGGTTTCCATGCTTGGTCTTTTGACCTCAGCTATTTGTCGTATTCAGTCTCGGTATTTGTGGCTTTCCTTTATTGGTCTTAGAATCTTCAATATTACCATTGTTGGTACAAGAACTATAATATTTAGATTCTCAGGAATGTGATTACCATGGGATTCACTTTTCCTCATTTTAAGGTAATCTGAATACCACCCAACATGGTGTTATTCAAATTCCCAAGAATCTCAAAATCATGAGAATCTTATTATAATAATAATAATTATTATAATTATAATAATAATTATTATATTTATAA